TAATCGTTCAATTAAAAGTGGATTCTGCTACTGAAGAATTATGTGAATTTAATGATGATGAAAAAAAATAAACGTACGAGTATGAGCGTATTTTCCTTTTCCTCAATAATAAATACATCGTGCTTCCCTACATGTTCATTCTAGTAAATATATTTTTGAAAAATATGTCTTTAATATTGTTTAAAATAATAAGAATTCAATGTTTAGAATGTTTTTATAACAAAATAACTTGTTTCTGCATGTCCCAACCACCATCTTCTGCAATCTTACGAATGCTATCCAGCATTCTGGTTGGTCCACAACATACTAAGTAACCATCATGAATCTGTCCTATCAAATCTTGAGATATATATCCAGAATATCCTTTCCATTCATCACTTGGATGCATCAGACAATGATGTACTTCATCAAAATTGTTCAACTGTTCTCGCAGAAGAATATCTTCTTCTGTATTGTTACAATCAATTACACGACATTTGATCCCTTCTCTATGAGCAAATCGCAAGATCGGATAAATTGCCGTAATTCCACTTCCACCAGCAACCATTGTCAATTGGCTAATTCGTTGAGCAACATTTTTTGCTCTAATAAATCCTTCGTCTTGAAATTCGTAATCTCCGAATGGACCCTTGCATTCAATTGTATCACCAGGTTTCAACAAATCAATACAAGATGACATTTTACCAGCTGGTCGTTCGCCACAGTTTCTATACAATTTTATAACCAAATCAAATTCTCCAAATTGATCTGATTCAGAGAGAGGCGTATATGCTCGTACTACTTTTTCGCCTGATGAAGACATACATCGAATGTAGAGAAAGTGTCCTAATGGCGCGCCCAACTTTTCCTGAGGATGATCTAATGCAAATGTAAGTCGTACACTATCATGATTAAGTATAATTTTCTTTTTTAAAACAGTCTTCTTCCAATGTTTTTGATCAAGAAAAATCTCTCCATGTGATTCATCGATTATTAATTGTTTCGATGAACTTTTTTTGTAAATACCAATATGATATTTAACTAACATAGCTTTTGCAACATCACTATGAAGAGCTATAAAATCATCAGAAGCATCTCCTCCACAAGCTGCAACGATTGAATGAAAACCACCGGGATGCTCTTTTAGATAATCTGTAGCATCATAGACGTTTTCATTGACAGCAAACCAAGCATCATCATTTTTATCATGTTTTGCTAATTCTTCTTCAGTAATAATACGATTAACATCATCATTCGTCATCTTAACAGTCGATAGTGACAAATATCTCGAATGAGAATCAGTCAATGATGAAGATCGACTAGCCCAAACACCATCAGTTAATTCACCACCTTGTTCTTTTACTTTTTCCATCCAACCACCTTTTGTTAAGGCTGGTACAGTAGGATGATCAAATTTTAAATACTGTCCATCTGATTCTTTAGTAATAGTCAATCTATGCCAACAATTATTAAGCATACCTAGAACATTCCAATACATATCTCGTGGTTGAATATTCATATGCTCATCCATAGCTCGAACAACAATATCTTTTGCTGAAAATAATTCCATAATTGGAATTTCAATTTTCCAAAAGCACCAACAAAAACAATGTTCACGATTTGCCATGTCTAATATTCCACCATATAGATTCGGAAAATTCGTAGCATTTCTATATTGATCTTCTGGATAATTAATATCAACTAATTTCCATGTTTGACCCTGATCTAACGATATTTCAACTCTTCCAACGCGAATACCACCACCATTTAATGCATAGCCTCGTAGAGCATAAGATTTATTTTCTTCAACTTTTATGATTTCTTCATGAGCTGGATAACATATAGCACTTTGTACATTTATATTGTATATAGCATATCGTTCATCATGAAACCAATGTTTCTGTTCTGCAGCGATTTCCGGTGTAATCATATTTGGTAATACACGATTATCAAACAGGTGATACCAATTATCATTTGGTTTTTCTGTAATTATGATTCGTTTCAACCATTTAACACTTCGTCCACCAATTTGTCCCGGAATAACAACACGTAATGGACGTCCATGATCAGGTGTTAACGGTTCGCCATTCATCTTATGTGCAAGCATAACTCCCATAGCAGGATTCATTGCAGTAGATAATCGAATACTTGTTCCATAGTAACCATTAGGAAGTTTATCAGCACCTTCCATACACATATATCGTGCTCCATGTTTTGGTTTAGCAACTTTTAGAATTTCACTCATTAGAACTCCAGTGAATAAAGCCGTACTATGCCCTGCACTTCCCCAATTGAAACCATTGCTTTTTCGAACTATATTTTCTTCTTTTCGTCGATTACCAGCACAAACCAATGTAGCAGGAAGTGTTGTTTGAGAATACGACAATAGTTCAAGTAGAGTCATGGTTAATGGTGTTTCTACCATCCCTTCAATAGTAAATGTCCAATTCAATACTTCTGAATCTTGTAGTTCAGGAACAGCACCATGATTTCGTACAAACCATAATTCAATAGGAGTGAGAAATCCACTATCATATAGTAAGCTAAGTGGAGGCTCACAATTAAATGGATGAATACCAGTAAGTCGAATCAATCGATTATCTCTATGGACATGTGCATCTGGTGTTTTTTTATCACATTCAAGTGTTTCAGTTGGTTTGTCAGTTTGTAATGGTAGTGGAAACATGATGTTTTCTTGAACAGCGTCTGGCAATTGTGGAAATGCTAAATAAGATGATTCTTTAGTATTTATTTTAGATTCTGAATCGATGTGTGACCCATGACCTAAATTTCCTAGATTTGTATCCTTACTCGCTATATCTTCTTGTGATAAAGAAGTCGACGTTAATATCTAAAATAAATAAATAAAGAATAAAATTCATCAAAAACAGTAAATACAAATTATAATATCGTTCTGGAGTGTAAGGCGTTTTCAAACTCTCTACTTTATTCTGGAATGATTTTTGTTTTACTCTTACTCTAAACTAATCAAGTTTATAAATGTTAAAATGGAGGATGTCTCATTATGATAGAATAGGAATGTGAACAAATTGAGTTCACAAACTTTGAGTTATATAAATTTTGTATTATAATATCAGAAGTTCTGCATTGGTTTAATTTAAAAAAATACCCAAAATAAGCTCTAAAATTTTACATTTATAGTTACTTTTCTACCACTTCAGCTGGTTTACTTAATATTGTATCACTGCATCTGCATTGATAAAAATTATTATTATTAATGCGTTTTTTTTTGCGTATGACGTGCGTTGTCTACCGATCAAACTAGGTATAGTAAGTATGGCTTATTGGAAAAAAACAAGCGTGTTGGTATATTCTATGTTAGCTCTTAGTTAGGGGATATGTAGCAACGGTAGAACTAATATTTAGTCTGCCAGAAATAGAGAGCTAAACATGCTTAAAGATCGACTTTGCCGCCGAATTATATTGAATATAAAGCAATCGATACTAGTTGAAAGAAAGAAAGAAAGAAAGAATACCCTTGCCTTGTGGCTACCTTTCAGTATAGGGTGTTGTCCGCCCTGTAAAAAAATCCGTAGAATACTAAACCTAAAAAGGGTTGATAAAAGTGCAACGTATAATAAACCCTTTTTCCGTTTTTGAAAATTTTCATAAACCCTAAAGGGTATTTTCCACATAATCATAAACCCTTTAAGGGTTTTTTGAAAATTTTCAAAAACGGAAAAAGGGTTTATTATACGTTGCACTTTCATCAACCCTTTTTGGGTTTAGTATTCTACGGATTTCTTTTACAGCGCGGAGACAGTTTCAAGAGCCCGATATTTTTCCTACAACTATTACTAGTTGCAGCTCTGGGCAGAAGGCCGGCCTGACTCAGAGTTCCTTCCGCTTAATTACTTAAGCTTCCCATGCATACTGACTATCCACATACTATCCATGAGGATATTTTTATGTATGCCACATGTAATCAGCGTGCTATCGGATGGGTGATCCGAGACAAAGCAGCCGTTAGTAACTTGTCCAAGGTTATTCTATGGATGATGGCGCCGAGGTTTGAACACACTATCTTGTGGAACTGTGCCGAACATCTTAACCATTCAGCCACACTGAAAAAAAAAGTACTTTACCGAACCTAAAAAGGTTTCGAATTTTGAAACGAATTCTAAACCTTTTTACGACACTGTACCGAACTTTAAAGGTTTTGTAAAGTCACACGAAACCTTTTCAGTTTTGGTAAAAACCTGAACATAGTTTCGTGTGACTTAACGAAACCTTTAAAGTTCGGTACAGTATCGTAAAAAGGTTTAGAATTCGTTTCAAAATTCGAAACCTTTTTAGGTTCGGTAAAGTACCTTTTTTTTCAGTGCATATCGGCCGATACTAGTTGATATCAAGAACTGCGCAATAACGACAAGAACGAAAACATAATCACGAGATCAATGATAGTATAGATTACGTAACAAATCAAATTAGACGTTAAAGAAATAGATAATATAGAGATAAACATTTAGCGTCAGTAGATGGCGGTTTCTGACGCTAACATTATACAAAAAAAAACCAAAAACGACACTCAGATAGGATGCTTTAAATGAAGAATACAATAATATCGTCCTATGACTTATTTTTCTTCGTTTATCAACAAAATAAAGTTAATAAAAAAACAAGCAAACCTGTCAAGTTCTTATTTCAATATTATTTGTGACCATTGGGAGCCGAAAATATTAACTAGGCGAAACTGCTTTTCTTTCAAAGAAATACATGATGACGGTGAATATTATTATAAAAGTTCGAAGCACTATGAATGAATCTCAGGACATTATCGAAGAACATTGATTCTTGCGATGATCATGCTCCATTTTTTTTAAACGAGAAATCATGCGGGTCAATTCTTTTTATATAAATACCTTGAGTATATACGAATATCGATGCTTCTATGTAAATAATAATTTTACTTTGACTTTTATGGTATTGTTGATGCGAGAGACGCAATTTTCTATATCTCACACCTATGCTTGGTACCATCATTCTAATGTCAATAACCAACGTGAGATAACAGCATGTCCAGATTTTATATGAAAATCAAATGAAACCAGGCTAAATACTTTTGAGTGAAATCTTGATGAATCACATAGAAATCATATGACAATGTAATATAGATCTCAATTTGCTTGCTGTTTGCAAAACAAAATAATATTACATGATAGCATTTCATTTTGTTTTTTTTTGGTAATTATTGTGCCGATGTTTCGATGCCATTTCGTAGCAGACAGGAGTGAAGTCAAAGTTGTAAAACTTTGGTAGAGAAAACGATCACCTTGGGTCGAAATCAGTGTTGCCACCTCATCAGGTCAGAAAAGCGGAAAGTTTGATCAGAAAAAGCGGAAAATAGCGGAAAGCTGCTTTTTGCTGACCTTTCACATTTCTAAGAGTTTAAGTAACCTTGTTTTACTGTTCATAGTACTGCTTTGCTCGCAGTTCCTCAACATAATAGACAACTCATAAAAAATACCAAGGGTGTACCTGGCCTGAAACTCCAAGAAGAAAAGATAAACGATATCCGGTCCAAAAATAAATATCTCTTCTCTCTCAATTTCTTTTCTACTCATCTTTTCGAAAAGTGTCATGCAGGGAAAAGTTTTGCATCTCCCCAAAAAATGTTCGTTTTGTGATGGTGAAATGACCGTATTGTGACTTTCAGTTCAATATTTTTCGCAGAGAATATACCACCGAAGGCGGCTCTTTTTGACACAGCGCTTTAAAAGTTTATGCAAAAAGATGTAATCGAAAAAACTGAAACTCATTTTTCAGAGTAATATAACAAAAATATATATTTCTTTCTATATATAGCCGCCTTTGGCGGCTCCTTTTTGGCACACAAATTAAAACATTGACTCGAAAAACGTACAATCCAAAAAATAAAACTTGCTTTTCATAAAACTAAGAGGATAATGTTGCTCTTTACATTCAGCTGTCGAATGTGGCTATGCTTTCATCTAGCATATTAACAAATGAATAAGAATTTGAAAGCAATTTTCTTTTCTTCAGTAGTATTTCATAGTGTAAGCCACAATAAAGACGAAATGTGATTCACTAGAAAAATATATTGGAAAATCTATCATGCGAAGCGAAAATTTTTCAAGAATTGTATAGAATTATGCGTTAGAAAACTATTTTCTAAGAAATATTCGTCTATCATCACGTTATCTAGTTTCTTGTATGGCGAAGTTTACAATTAAACAACGAAAGTTTTGCATCTGAAAAAGCTGAAGAGGCGACAACCCTGATCGAAATATAGAAGATATTGTGACCAGTTATAAGATTAGTCTCAATCGATTAATCATTAACATGAAAACTCTAAAACGAATAGCAAACTATCTAAGTAGTCAATTGGGTATGTTTTCTGGCATTATCTTACATCAATAATATTCTCGTGAACTTTATCTCTTGTAAATGGTTTCTATAGATCACTAGTACATCTAAGTTTTTCTTTGGTCAATATTCTTCATACAACTTAAATGACTTCGGCAATAGCAAGTAAGCTACGGTTTGTCAACAACGAACTGAAACTCTAAAATAAGTCTTCTACGCTGTTTATTATCAAACTTTGCTAGATTACATCTCTGCGTAATTCAACGCTGCACGGCGCAATTAAATTCAAACAATTGAGTGTAAATAAAAACTGCTGATTTGTTGAGTCTATGGAGTATTCCATTTCAAACTGATTTCAAAAAGAAATCTGTACTTTCCGAGACACTAGGGGTTTAGGAGATCCTAGAACAAACGTAAAGAACTCGAACCAGACGACCATGAACAAACTTTCTTCACCAAAGCTTCACCATAATCTCTTCAACTTCGATGTTTCGCATGGTCCAACCAAAGCTGCAACGGTCAGCCGAGCTCTATATAATCCCAAAACAAGAAGTATTCCCTTGATTTCTTATTTCTCAATTATCAATTCATATACACTCTAAAAAAAATCGGCTCTTTACTGAACCCCCAAGAAAGGTTCCGGAGATTTCTAAAAGCATCTAAAGATGTCTAAAGTTTCAAAAAAAAAGATAAAAAAATCTGCGAAACCTTTAGAGGTTCTTATTGTGTGCCCAAGATAAGAACCTTCTGCTACGAAACCTTTTTTTAAGTTCCGTAGAGCAGAAAAAGGTTTCGTAGAGGAAATACGAAACCTTTAGAGTTTCATATTAAAACCAAATGGTTTCGTACTAAACCCTCATGATTTCGTAGAGTTTGATACGAAACTCTAATGGTTTCGTATTTCCCCTACGAAACCTTTTTCTGCTNCCCCCGTTAAAAAAAATACCTACATACATATATATGAATTCAGAACTCAGAATTCAACAGAATTCATCGAAGTGAATAGTTTCGAAGATCCCCTAGCCCCTCATTTCTTTTTGAAATGACCAGTCATTTTTTTGTGCACAATTCAGATTGAAATCATATACCCCATTGTATGAATTTGTTGATACACAACTTCAAAGGCTTCACCATTCGATCTAAAACTATCGCGACTCGTCTAAGAATCATAATAGTAGAAGACCTGCACTATGGTCATAATGGAGACACTCAATAGATTCGAAAATATCCTGCTTTTAGGAATGATATTTTCTTTCTGGCATGTTGTGTAAAACTGCAGTGACTAATTTTCTACCAAAGACATTATTTATACGCGCTTTTCTGCAATTCATATAATAGTTCAGATTGAGAATTCGTTGCAATAAAAATAATACTCAAGAAAATAGTTCACTGTAGAACCATCTTTTTCCTATCCACTTAGCCTTCAATGATACGAGAGGAATATAACATTATTATGGAGTGGGTTGCATCTTCGAAGTCAATTGAGAAAAGGAATGACAGTGAAATTTTAGAATAATGAATTTTTGTAGATGTTGTGCACATGCTCTTCATCGAAGAGGTTATGTTGTTATTTATTAAACAAGATCTGATAAAGAGTTGGCGAACGAAGCACGTTCCAATTATCAGTATAGCCTTATCTTTTACCAAAGGAAAAATTGCAATTTACATTTAAGTGAAAACCATGTAGACCAGGGTAGACAGATAATGTGAGGACTCTTTCGAAATTCATTTTGCTCGTTTAAGATTTATTTTGTGATTTTAGTAGAAACGTTACTTTCCATTATTGCATTTAAAGATGAGAAACATGTGCTTCGGCTTCAACTGATTATGTGAATGCGGTAAAGTTTAACATTTTGGTTTTTGAATAGTGAAATTTAAAAGAAAGTCTTTGACCATTGAGAATATGGTGCATGATGTTACGATCGTATTGTTCCCATACAATCGTAAGACGGAGAGAGATACCCTTTCTAGTAAAATGGTTAATACGTCTGCCCGGTAAGCAGGAGGTGCATGGTTCGATTCCATGCGAAGGGGGATATCTTTTGCTCCGTTCTGTCGTCATTCGAAAGATAAGAGATATAACACATGATACAAGTCCTACGTGTTTTTTATCGCTTGCAAATGAACTGATCCAGGAAGTATTCGAGTATCTTTCACCCAAAGATTTATTGGTATCATCTGGTTACTCATCTAATCGTCGTATTGAAAGTCTTATAGTACCTTATGCTGCATACTTGAATTTGAGTCATGATGATGAATCCCCAAGGGATTGGCTGCAAAGATATGTTTCGATTGTAAACAAGTATGTGAAACACATTTGCGTTTTTATGAAATATGTTCTCGATGTGCTATCTGTAACTCTGGCACTAAATGCGCTCACCATCATCTTGGATGATGACATGGGTGATGCTTTCGATTATTTCGTATTTTTTTATCGAGCATCAATTTGTATCCATCGGAGCTCTGACCATATCAACATACGGCTTGTTTAGTACTACGATTAAAGCAATAACGGCAAATATGTTTTTGGGCGACAGAGGAGGATTTCCAGAGCACACATTAAATGTACCTGACTGTATTCTTCAACTGGACCTAAATCAATCGATTCTTTATTCTAAGCTTAGACATTTGGATAGCATGGTTCACGAAGAGAAGTTTTTGCATGCTTTATGTTCTCGATTGCTCAATCTTGAAACTCTTAATATTTTTCTTGTGACAAATGACCTTGAAATCGAAGATGATTCTCTTCTTACTGGCAAGTTTGTGAGCCTTGAAATAATCACGGAGCAAGATATAGACGATGGAGTCCACTACAGCTATCTGAAGTGCAAAGCTAAGGAAGAAGTTGATCACATTATGGTTGTGGCACTACCTCATCTACGTTCTGCTTCAATCAAAGGTCATATTACTACATTCGGTCGACTCAACCCTCTTTTTCAGTTAACATCAGCCTCACTCGACAGTATTAACCTAAATATTAAGCTCTTGGCAATCGTTGATCCTAATCAAATCAATGCGATACCAGCACACATCAGATTCAATTATTGGATAGCCTACGATATCGAACTTCCTGCAGATTTCAATTGGTCAACATATATCGACGCGTTTACTCAAAGACCAGCACTTTGATGCGAAGAAAGAGTATTCTGTTCTGTCTCCTCATTGCCAACAAAGTCTGTATTTAGACTACTCACACCGAATATGTTTATTACATCACCTTATATTCTATCCTTATCAAAAGTACATACTTTAGTATATGAATATATCAAATTTAGAATCAATACGGATACCGTGATGTTTATTCGTCATACTTTTCCCTCAATTCATACAATTGTTTGGCGGTTATCAAAACCAAAATTATTTACTGACGTTATTCCTCGACATGATAAAAGCATTTATTGTTCACTCAACGGATCCCAAAACACTACAAGGTCTGCTTTTGTTGTGTCCGCATGTGATACGTATTTGTTTTACACGCGCTTTTGAAAGACTTTTTTGAATATTTAGACGGATATTTTCTTTTTTTTCCTATGATGTAATTCGCTATTTTTTAACAATTTCATGAATGAAACTTTTTCTGTGAGTTAAAACTGACTGAAAGTATTAATAATTTATGATACATTCACGGACATGGTTACAATGAAGATTTGAAACTTCAGGTGACATTAAAATATCTTAATTGTAATACTTATGAGTGTCAATCATAGATTAACCACTATCCTAGGGTGTGTAGTGTGCGTATCTGATCTTTCCTTCACATAAATTCACACCCACACTCCAAATTTTCAATTCTAAAGAATAAATATTGACTTCTGTAGTCGTCTAAGATTATAGTGAGAGTTAATTCTCTTTGGAAAATTTAAAATGTTAAAATGTCTTTGAAAAATCTAATTATTATATTTAAAAGTGATTCGAATGTTTCCATAAGATAAAATTCAAGAATTACTATCTAGTAGATACAATATTAAGAATACCACCAGATGAAGTTCAGCTAGAACAGAAACAAACGCTGTCGTGGTACGGCGATAGAATTCTAAACACACCCACACCCCTGCGTGAGGCCAAAATCAATTATGGCATCAGACCTACGTGAAGTAGGTTTACCTGGTAAAATCATTTCATTTCCTATTTCCTCTCACCATGATACAATACGGTTACCACTAACATTGTTCATTTCGCATTTCCAATCTACATGTTTCGCATTAAAATCACCGAAAATACAAAAATAGTTGTCTCTAAATTTTGTAAACAGATGAAATGGGGGTATTGTTCCTGTTGTAACATAGACAGCACCTATTAATGTTGATACAGATGTTGTTTCAATTTCCACCATTAGAAAATTTAAATCTCTCACTACTTCCTTATACTTAATAGAGTGATGGATTAATAAACCTACACCTCCGATTGAATTTGTTCCCTTTTGTACCAGTAAGTGATAATCAGAAAACGGGGGCAACATTTCGATGCTGTTTTACCTATTTCTGTTAGAAATGAAGAATTAATGCAGCTTGTATTTCATAGATGTTAAATTTATTAGCTTATGAGCTTTCGACATTTCAGGAGGTCATTGTTATGTATTCTTTTCTCTTGCATTATTAAACTCAGTTATTAGCGAGACAACAACGTGATAGTATGACAACAAAACGGAACAAAAGGATAATCTCCCTCCGATGGAATCGAACCAACGTCTTCTGCTTTCCGGGTAGCTGTACTACCACTATACTAGAAAGGAGTGTGTATTATTCGTTTGTTCCATCTTACGATCGAAGGGGAACACTTCGGTCGTAACAGTCATCATCAGATACACAACCATCAACACAACCTAAATAACACAATTATTCAGCGGTTTTTCCTGTTACAGGATTGGGTATTTTACTGATGTATTATATATTTATCGAAGTGATATTTATGCATGCGGGAAATAAAGGGTTCAGCTATAGATGCGAAAATACTGTTGTTTAATGTTTCAGTAGGATGTTGAACTGTGGTATGAAGGAATTTGACGAATTGTTGTATTTATGGTTTGAGAATAGATGTCGTTATGTGGTGTAGTTGTTTGCATCATATATTTAGAGGTTTTATGATATTATAGTAAAAGCTAAATCATTAGTTGTAACGATAAATAAGACTCTGTTGAGTTTATATCGTATTGACAAACTGGATAGAGGTGGAGTGGCTTACAGTCACTCACGGCAATGATGTTTATTCATTTATTCACATATCCAGAGTGTGACAACTTCATACATAACACACGTATATATAGGAGAGAGATATATTATAACAGTGGGAAGAGAATAGAAGGAAGAGGAAGGAGAATCATCGAAGCGTGCCACCAATATCGTCACATTAGTATTTGTTCAAACTTTATTTTTGTACTAAGAATGCATTTGGATACACAGCATTTTGCTTATCCTGATGCCCGATGTGCGGATATCACTCATAGAGCTTTTGATTAGATCTTCTTATTATCTCCTTCATCACGTCTCTATGTTTCTTTCTAGATTAGTTTACTAAAAATATCATTAAACACACTTGGCAAGTATTTATCGATTTCTTCTTCTTTGCCTCTGATTGAATAAGTGATTATTGTAACGATATTTACCGTTACGGCTCACTTTATGTACTTTATCCTCTTCACTGTATCCTATGTTTGTGCATTGACCTGATGAACTCTCATTGTTCTATTCCGTGACCGTTCCCTCTTTGTCTATATCCACCCAAGCGTGATCACTCTCGCGTATATAAGGGAATGTAACTAAAGGAAATGCACGACTAGAAATGTGCAGATGACACAATACACCATCATGCCGACGGGCATAGGCAACACTCTCTATGTTCGTCACACTATTGACATGGAAAATACCTGTTGAATTGTCACTAAGTATAGACAAGTCGCATAAAATAATTATTTCAAAGAGTTGAAAAGGAACAGAAAATATAAAACCAAAAGTAATTTTTTTGCTTCATTTTGCCGTAAACAGATAGTAACATTGATTAATGTTTCACAGCATTTTATTAGATAAAACAGAAACGAATTCCTTATGACATTACTTAGGTCATTGTATTTTAATAATGAATGATTTATTTCCATCGTTAGAATCTTCAATAGAATCTGTTTATCATACTAATCGAATGAAAGGCTCATTGGAGCTATAGAAAAAATATATTCCAATGGTTGACATTATCTTCTTTACGAAGTTAATTGATCAAATATATCTTGCAAATCTACATTTAATTTAGAAATCACTCCGTGTCTACTAGTAGTTTGTTTCGTGTCAGAAGGGTAAACAGCAAACTTGCTATTTCTGATACATTTTCACCTGACTTTATTAACACTATAACTTCAAGTTCTTCTATCATTCTCTATATTTTTTAATTCAGACGATTGCCATCTAATGACTCTCGTTCCTCAGCTTGAAATACCGACATCATGGTAGCTTCTACTACAACGTCTTTTATCTAAAATTTCGCCAAAAATTTGTGATTACACGATAGTATAGATGATAATTTGATTTATTTCTTAATTACTATCAAATTAAGTTCCCTTTAAATCACCAGATGAGTGCCTTGAGCAGGGACGAAATCCGAATCATGCCAGCTTTGACATTCTACTGCCTCTGTGTAACATTGAAGATACACCTTGGCTTTCGATTTTCTTTTGAAGATTCCCAATTCATTATGCGATCTGTTAACACCCTAAAGCAAGGTCGAAATCTGGATCGTAGTTTGCTTGACACACCACTGTTTCTACGGATATCTATCAAGTTCGACAATCTTCTAGGCTTGACTTGTCTTGTTTATATCTGTTTGTCCTACTTTGTATAGATTAAGTAACTTATTTATGATTTTCGTAATCATTTGGATAGTTACGAATATCATAACTACCTGATGATGACCCTTAAGTGAGGTCGAAATCCGGATCGTAGTTTGCTTGACACGCCCATACCCACCCATTTTCTCAGAAAATCGTTTGCTTCGTTAGATGCCAGTGAAAGCTGGTTATTGTAGTGAAGCGGCAACCGTACCCCGGACGATGCTGGGCCATCGAACTCTATCGAAAGTGATTGGGAATCCAGTGGCCCGGATTTCGATATTAAATCCGACTGGATAATACTAAGTTCCGACTGTATTCTATCGGTTTTCGTCGGATTCCGGGTCACTGGATCTTTCGACATGGATAGCTATGATTTTAGCAGTAGACCGATTATCGTAGTTGACCGGTAATCGTACTTACGGTTATCTTAGTTGGTCGGTGAAACGGTTACGGTATAGCGGTGACTCATCGTCACCGGTGCATCCCTATACACACCCACACCCACACCCTCAGGCACTTGTGAATTAAACCGCACTCGACTATTACAATCCACCAAAAGTATCAATATCTACTTTGCATGTACTTGATATTTGAGCTAGTAAATCAATTAATTTTTCATTTACAGCTGTTAAGAATGTTGAATTTTTGTTTTTCTCGCCAACCACAAATTTACAAAGCATGCACACATCCATATAATCTCTATATCAAGAATGCATAGATGAGACGAACTATCTCTAAAAATGAATTTTCTTATTCTTAGTACAGCGAACAAATAATTTATTAATCTCATTTGCCTCATACAATACAAATGGCAAATAGGTAAGATTCGATTGTATCTCATTGTATATTTTTAACGAAATAAAATTTTAACAAAGAGTGAAATTGTCGCTAGGAATACTCTTTACTTCATATGGCATGTCTTGTTCAAAAAGAGAAACACATTGTCAAGAAAATAAAAATACATTATTGACGTTTTAATTCTAATGGGAAGTTATTGATAACAATCATGTCGTTGGAGCTTAGTATAGTTAAACGATAGAAACACCTATGTTCCATTCAATACTCTTATGTAGCATTATCTTGTCTTTTTACTTTTTTTCTCCTTTCTATTTATCAAGCATCTTCTTGCATGATGGTAAGAAGAGAGAAAACAACCTATATATATCTAGTACTTCGGTCATTCATGTTAGTGACAAGTAATAATACCTTTTATCACACCCCAAAAACAATAAGACAGCTAACGAACATTGCCAAGCTTTGAACTTTCTTACAGAATATTAGATATCCGATAAAGGTGGTATTATTTCCTAAAAATAGAATATAGGATTATCAATGAAAACTTATACATATTCCGTTATAATGAAAGTTTTCAGTCTTTATGCAATCAGGATGAACAAATAATCAATGAACTCATTAACGGAGGTATTTCGATGAAGCAAATTCTATTAGACATAGTATCCGTGAAGATTAGTTTGATGAAATAAAACTTTCTATTAACTTTTGCGATCAATACTAATACTAGATTCCGATAGTGTTAATTGGAAAAAACCTTTGAAATGATGTTTTGAAGAAAGTTATAACTTTCTTGCTAGATGAGCTAGTGGGGTCGATAAATAGTTAGTTTGTAGAACGTCTTTTACTGCATCTTTTCTTAGCAGAGACAAATTTACAAACACGTATTTCATGAAAGAAGTATTATTATGCGAATCCGGTCATGGCTTCAGGTCCACCCTTTAACGGATCGTTGGCAAATTTATGTTTAGTTCATTATGATACAAAAATGAACTAAAATTGTATCATTACATGATGTTGACTCAAATCCAACCATTTCTGTATACTATTGAACACTACTGAAATGTGTTAAACCTTTTATTTTGACTAATTTGGTTCGAATTAAGGTTAGGTGTGAGTGGTTAAGGGTAATATTATTCTCTTCTCTTACACCCACAGCCACACTCTTTCCTACATAAAAAATATCAATGTGCAAATGAAGCTCACCTCTCCTACCTGTGAGACTATGCTGTGAAATAGATTCTGATTTTGAATTGGCATCAGTGATGATCGTGACTTCAGGAACTCTTGAAAGAGCATCTGAAGTTTGAAACATGAACTTCGCTGCAAGTGAGTCTCATTATGCTCGTTCAATAAAGAGCCTACTACGGTCCAATGAACTTGAATTTATTTTAAGCGTAGCCACACGTGGTGATGGATACTTGAAGATCAACATTCGATCTAATTCAATTGTCCTCAAAAGTTAGATGTATTATATTTGCTTTTCTGTTTCTCTCTTTCTCTCTGCGTTAGCTCACGTTTTCTCCTCGCAAATGCATCGCATCGTCACTTCTTTGGTTGCCTTATCATTTATTAACTCTCGAAACAAACAACTGAATAATATGAATTTAAAATAAGGCGAAGACCCGCTACGTCCATCGAATAATAATTTCATTATAGTAATAATGATGATAAGACAAAGTATACAATACCATCAAGCTGGCACAGAATTGACCGGAATCACTATATTGTTGCTATTACTTAGAAATATTACATACAACGTTCATCTTTTAATCCAATTGCGTTGATTTAGCTGGAACGACAACATAGCAATAGAATAAAGTAGATGGCAAACAGTTTCAATAGCAAACTAAGAAAACCACAAATGCTCGCGAAAATTTTTTTTTTAATATTTTTATTTTGCTGGTATAGCCATTATTGGCGCACGTCACTTCAATAAACTCATTGAAACCCTCTATATACATTTCTATACTGCAAAATAAAATATCAGCAGCAAAACAGTTGCACGTCACAAAAAACATGCAGCCTACTTCGATGGTAACAGTGAGTAGCGTAAAACAACAGCACCGTAGACATAATCTACACCATTCACATGTAAGTATGTTCGGCACGTAGCCGAGATCAATAGCTTCCATCTACATCGAAATATTGACTACATAATTAAAGCTGTCCACTTCTGCCTCACGCTATTTTTAGTGAAATTATAACTCTTTTTTTCCAGACAACAACGACGACAGGTGCTGTTGTGCGACGCGTCAAAAGCACAAAATCATTATACATTGGAAACACAAAGGAGAAGCAGACAGATACCATAAAGCAAGACACTCGCTCGGTCCAAGTGAAGTGCAACAATGTTTTACCTACACTATCATCGTTGCAAAGTGAAAAAATCAAATACCCACCATCAATAGTGTCCGCTGTGCATGTCTTTCGAACTCAATCTGCATTAACTGTCAGGAGCTTGAATCAGCAGCCATATATTAATGATATTCGGCAGCACTCAGAGATGGTGTCGATGCAGCTCAACACAAAATCAAAAATGACTTCTGTTCCTGTACCAATTGAAGTAATATTAATACATTTTCCATAGATACTCAATTTTGATTCCTTGTTTCTCTTTCAATACGAGAGAAATCATGGGAAACGCCTAAACAGCGCTCTTTAATATGAGAGGAAGTACAATTTTGAATTGGTCTGGATTCGAAAACCATTCTTTCCTCCCCTTTCTCTCCACCCGACAGACACGTCAATAGATCCAGAGGCCCACCTTTGGAGCAAATAGCTGAACCTCACTCATTCTTGATTCTTGCACGATAGTCTCAGTCAACAGGCGATAAACGGTTCTCTGAACTTTACAATCAGTGTTCTCTAGAACATGGTTAGGTCATTATAGAAGTGGAACCTGCTCATTTCTATCTCTCGCTGTCCTATCACAATGTCTTGCTCTCTTTGCAGACAGCATCGGTGGCAAGCGTTATTGTTAATCACGTAAAAAATACGAATGTATTATTCTCACACAATGGAGGACCAAAGAAGAAACATTTGATATACAAAGATTTTGAATGGACCTCCGCCCTGTCGAAGAATATCGGACCACCTTCCATCATAGAAGAGTTTGGCAAGAAGAAACAAAAGGTGAAAGAGCGCAGATGGCGCTGTCGACGTCGTGGTGGCTACTTCGTCTGCTGCTCGCCCTGGTGTTGCTTGTGCTCGAGTATAGCAGTCGCATTGGCTCTTGCTGCTCTTGCAACGGTACTCATCCTCACACTGTCAAACAAGTCTTCGACTGCCAGCGAGACAAGTATAAGTGTTTGTCTCTCTCTTTCACTTCACCTAATTTTTGTCTGTAAACAGCAGCAACAACAGCGATATCGATTGCAAGCGCGCAAAACATTAGTTAGCAAGCTGATGTTCATCAGGATTCTCTTTTTGAATTTTTTTTATTTAGGTACGATGTTGATGACAACCTCAACAGCGATCACAAGTGAGTTTATATGTCTATATAATAATGTCTAATAAGTACCGTATAGCAAGCATCAATAACATGAATCCATTGACGAGTGACTAGACTCTAAATATTTTTATCTGAAGTCTATCTTGTGCTTTCTCTGTAACATCGACAGACACGACTACTACTTCGACAATAAACACTACTAGCGCATCGACCATGAGTATTACTAGCACAAGCAATATAAGTAAGTGCTGTGAGAGTGAATGCCCGCACACGATCTGGATAGAGTAGATAAATTTGAATATGCCTATTGCCCATAGTACTCTCAACTGACCGGATCACATCTATTTGAATAGTAAAATAAGAAGTGTTACAAAGGAATTACTCCATTCAGAACGAATCTTGAGTAAAGAACTTCTTTTGTTTGACTCACTTACTTAAAATTTCGTCTTAATAACTTTCCACATCACTCTTTATGTTTTAACATGTTGCAAAATACGTAATACTTAGTGCCAGCTGCTTTTCATATGTTACAAACAAGCCGAATTATGATATAAAGCATGAAGGGTGTGGGTGTGGACGTGGGTGTACGTGGGGCAAACCAATACTGAAACCCACACCGGCACACTCTACACCCTCAACAAGTTTTTTTTTTACAGAAATGTGACACATTTTTAGTGTTGTTACACGAAGAAACAGGCTACGAAGCTAAAAATTATATTTTGTGAACAAGAAACAGTTCGTATCATTATGGTGCATAACTCCATTGGCCAACTCATTTGGTTTGCATACACGAAAGAAACAAACACTATAGAAGAGAAGTTAGGGAATCGGTTTTTGATCCTCTGTACTTTAGTCTAAAATTTTCGTTGGTTTCTCTCTATAGCATTGATACACAAGACTAGTACTTTGACAACGAGCACCACTGTTGATTCAACTACGCAATCAGTAAGCACTACTACAGTTGTTACCACAACAAGTGAGTGATACACGAGCATAGATGGGAGATAGAAAAGAGTGCATAATATTCAGCAAAAAGGTATTTTCAGAGATGGACGTAAACCTAACTGCAGGGGTAAACATACGTCGAAGATAGAAAGCATTAGATTGACTGCGCCTGGTATCAGTACTGATCAATGCTATTCTGAGAAGATCAATCTGAAAAGTGCAATAAGTATCACAGTGAGATTTTCTAGTTCAGACCGATACTGGACCATTAGATTTTCTATTAGTCTGACTTACTTAGAATTGACTTGAGTAGTTTCCTTATTGGTCCTTACGTTTCATTTTGAGAAACATGTATAGTATACTTTGTTCAGCAATGCCAGAGTCGATCAAATTTACTCGTTGATCTAGTTGTTACGAATTTTGATGGATTTTGACTGAAGAATCTTCTATGAATAATATATGAGCCAATCAATGACTAAATGTGGGTGTGGATCGATGGATGTCGTGTTCCACACTCATCCGGGTCAATATCCGCCAACACCTCGCACCTCACACCCTGACCCAAACCCAATTCACACCGACACCGGTACACCCCACCCACACCCCAAACCTACCATGGTGACCGTATCCGGCTGCCGGAATCAGTCAGAACCAGCCTAAAATGACACGAGTTCAACCGGAAACGGTGGTCGTACCCTTATGGGAAAACTGTGCCTGGAAATTAATCAGAATTCCACGGATTAGGTCAGTTCCGACTGTACGGATACGACCTGGGAAGGTGATTTTAGCCCTTTCCGAAAATGAATCAATGTTCTTACACGAAATCAAACATCCAGATAGAATTGATCTCATTCGTATTAATAGAAATGTTGACTACGAGGAAACTTTTTCCCCATTTTTGACCGATCGCTGTTATCAGTTCGATTTTTAAGTCGAAGTATTCGTGTAGAACAATGAACAACGCTATTCTTTTATAGAGGCAATCATATCATCATAGGAAGGACTATCTCATAAGTAAAAGACCCAGGAATCAGATAGTGTTTTGATGTGCAAAATGTTTCTATTGTGTACTCGATTCAAATGAGGAGATCATAAATATTTCTAAATGTTATATTTTTTCTGAAGAAACTGATTTTGTCATTCATTTAATGTATTTTGGCTGCTATTTGAGCGGTAACATGTATAAAAACCAAAAAGTAGGAGTATTTATACGTCTGTCCTGGCAAAACAGTCCTACTCGTTTCCTAGTACATATGACTAGGTATAGCTAGTAGGAAAGCTTGATTGGCCTGTTTCCTTAAACTTTATCGTCATGTTTAGCTATTACTACCACATCGGCTGCAACTACTCTCAGTAAGTAGTTCTAAGAAAAAAAATCAAACAAAAGTCATTTCATTCGATTATTTTATTTCAGCGATTACATTGAATACATGCACATCAACATGGGCTAATATTGACGTACTCTATCACTGCTATAATAATTGTACCGTTCAAAGTTCTTACGTACAGTATACATACAGTTATGTGGCTATAGGCAATACAACACGGCTTACGTTTGCTTTACGCCAAGATCATTATTATTTTGCACTTGATACCATAAGTGTATCGGGCAATGCAGCACCTGGTACTGAACTACTTATCAATGGCGACTTTGAGATGGGTAATCTCACACCATGGCTCTATTGCAATCCAAATAACGCAAATTATGCAGGTGTAGTGCGAGCAACCAACTACAGTTATAGTGGCAAAACGTATGGACCTCACACTGGTACGCATTTCTATCTGGATGGGGCTGTTGGCTCTCCAGATTTTATCAGTCAAACCTTTACGACTATAATCGGTGATGCATACTCTTTATCCTTTTGGTTATACAATCCAAGTGGTGGTACAGGTGTTAGTGTTGATATCCTAATGAGCACGTAATAACATAACGACTGACACATGATAAGCATGATAGACAACAAAAACGATATCCATATTTTCTTCATAGTTGGTACTGTTGCACGAACAGCGTTAATAAAAGTATTTAAAATAGATAAGAATTATGGCAATGCTTTTCGAATGTTAACGCATGGTACAAGTGAAAGGTGTAGGTGTGGGCGTCGAAGAACAAGAGATGAGCAACCACACGGATACCCATATCCTCATATTAATCTTTCTATGAGCCATATGTACAACTGAACTAGTACAAATAATATTTACGGCTTTGATATCGTGTCATCATTAAAGTGCTTTTGTGAAGCACGATTGCCAGTCAGTATTGACGACAAGGAAAAACAGCAGGTCTCAAGAGTTCAGAAGACTTCGGGAGATTCACGAAATATCACAATAGAAGTCTCAGTTTTTTCTTCGCAACTAAATTACATGAAGAGAAAACTCATTCTTTCTTCTCGAGTTACTTGAAAAATCACTGCAAATATGCAGATGCTTCTTTAGTAATAGGGATTTTCATGATTGAAAACGGTTTTCTGGCTTCCAGGAAGCTGTCTTTTCGTGTGGTAATGGTTTTTAATGTTGATAATGAACCTCCCAGGTTCACTTCTCAAAATAATTGCGGTATCTTCATCATGCTTCAATATTTTAATTCTGCAGAGATTGAAGTGAATGCTTGCTTTTCACTATGTGTTTCTATAAGATATTTCTCCTTGGTCAACTTCGGTGGACACAAAATTTTAAAGCATGATAAAGTCTATACTATTATTATCATTGTACACCAATGAAATATCTGTCAAAGACAGATATTCCCAGTCGACTACAGATGCGCTGCGTGCCTGTCATCAGATTTAATTTAATATCTTTTTATCCCTTTAAAAGATAATATATAAAACATACGAAATAGAGTCAAGTAGGTACTAGATTTCCGTAGCAAACCGCAATTCGGTTTGGTTTCGATGCTTTGGCTGGATATGCAAGTGATTTTAACACAAGTAACGCGTTGATTCTAGGAGCCTCGTTTAGCTCAACTCTGAAAGTCAGAAATGAAAGCAGGGTATATCGACTGTCATATTGCTAAACAGAGATATAAATAAAATCATACAAACCTTCCCATATGAATCGAGTCATCATACTATGCACTAATTCATTCTAACTTTGTTGGCGAACCTCAATCGTGGGTGAAGTTGACATGAATATCCATATCTACGCCCACACTCTTCTACTGATACAGATAGGAATCCCGGTTGCAAAAACAGTAGGGGATGTGTGTCTTTTTAGCTGGTATTCACCCAAAACCACACCCTGACAGTAGTTTTTTTCTTATTTCTTGGATAAAAGTGAACACGATGTGTGACAATTGTTCCAGGGGGAAACAGCTGACTTCAAGACTTCAAGACTCCATGAGACTTCAAGACTGTAGAAGTGTGTAAGAAGCTTTAGGAACTCCGCGAATGAAGCTGTGTCAAATTATGGACATAGCATCTCAAAATTCTCTACTTAATTTTATTAGCCTGAGATTTATCACTCCTTGGTGACTATTTTTCAGAAGTTTATTTTATATTTTATCATAATTCAATATATTATACCTGAGATAGCTATCAGCCATGAAAACAAAAAAATTTCTCCATTTTATTAGAACTTCTTATATGTTGATAGAGTTAAGTGTGTTGGTTAGAAATATCACATTTTTTTGAAAACTAGTCTGATAGAAAGAAAGTTCTGATATACTTTCTGAAAGTCCTATAACGTAATTTTCGTCGTGGAAACTCACTAAAATTTTATTTTGGTTCATTGAAAATAGTCTCACTCGATGCAAAAATATCTTCTCCATTAGAATCTGTAAGAACGATTTAGGTATTGACAACTTTTTCTATCGGTAAATACCGAATACCACCCCAATTGGATCATATTGCCTCAACCAGTGATTTTTTGCCTATTAGAAGTTATCGTTTATACAAGTGCGCGATCGAATTTTTTTTTGTCAAGTACGTAATCTAACGTATTCTTTCTGACCATCCGTTTACAACTTGAAACTTGATGTCTCATGAAGTATGTTTTCTCACTATTCTTGAGACCCAATATGTGCCATTTTTGACTGATATTCGACGACCGTATTAATTCTCATTTGTCTTCAAAAAAAGTTTAAATTTAAAATCAGTGTAAAAAACTTAGTCGATCTATGTGCGTTTGAAGTTTTTTCTGCAGCTTTTCAGGGTAAACTTTTTACTGTCTAGTCCCTCTTAGGGACAGGTGAAAAAATTAATTTACTCAAGAAGGCTTGTCAACGCAGCTACTGTGTAGCTGAAATGTGGAACTCACATATTCCGCAAAAGATAACACGTTATACACTAGTAATTCTTTTTTGTAATAAAGTATGGTATAAACTATACAACGGGTGAAAAATGCCGGGCAAGCCTGATTGCGCTTATTGACGGTGGTCAATATAATCAAAGAGGTATCAAAAAGCTTTTTCAAAATGTTTTTTAATTGAACCAGATTCTTCTGGTTTACAGAGTACGTATGACTAAACATAATCGTTATTAGTCTAGAGACAGAAAATTGACGTAATGTTTCAGAGAACAATAGTTTTCCTTAATGAAAGAAGTAAAGAAAATCTAGTAGATATGAGCTATATTACAGTTGTTTATTTAATCTGAATTATTCTGGAAGATCATTATAAAAATGAATATCAACTGAATTCAAACATTTTTTCAAAAATTTGTAATCGACTCGTATTGAAATACAACGAGTTGCTGTATTAAGGACGCAGCATCGTGAAAAAAATGGCAATAATCGCATGTTTACACGAACTATATGAGAACGCAATACATCAGCCAATCATCGTCTACATATATAACACTCGAGACTTCTTATTGAGGCTAAATTTTACTAATGAAGCATACTCTTATAAACTTTCACTACGAACATGATCTTGTCATCCATCTGTAAAATGATTATCTCATTTCAATTTCTCTAGCAATAATCGTGCAAAAGTGATAACGTCAAAAATAACTTAGCATACTATAGTTTTTGGTTTAAGATAATCGATCGGCATGAAAACAATCTTTTTTATTTCGTATTTTTTTCGAATAGAACTTTCAAAGTAGCGCTCTATTTTTCATTGGCGTTCTTTTTACGATTCGCTATGCTATTTCATTCTTTTTATTTTTTATTTTTTTTTTCGCATCATATTTTTCTTTCAATACGAATTTATCATTATCATTATCATCGAATGAATTACCAAACTCCGCCTGATTTATCTATGCGTTAAATCTACAGCATTGATCAATGATGTATTAGATACTTCCATGAACTTGCGCACAAAATCATACATTTTTTGCAATTAAAAGACGATACGAACATTTATATCAAAGCATTTTGAGTTGCTAGTTTTTTACAGAGTTAGTTTTTCAAATACTAAAAATAATTTTTTTGCGCTCGTTGATGTCTGCAATGGGGGAGGGAGGGGGAGCCGCAAAAACTTCACCTTAAAACTTTCACTCACAATTTTCTTCGAAAATATATGCGAGTTCCACAAAAAAGGGTTACATGGGTGCTTTTCAGCCTAGAAAAGCAACTAGGATTTGAGTCTATTAATTCTCTCTACCAATATCTTGAAGAACAATATATTTTGTTTTGGGTCTCAATAAATTTGAAATATCTCTCAAAATGATGTTTGTTTACGCTTAACTACCATAATCTGAATAATTCTTTTTAATATGCAGAGAAAGAGCATCGATACAGTCAGTAATGAGGGACTCTACATAGTAAACGATATTCAAAGCTTTGGTATATTTTCAGCAGTTATAAAGCAAGGAAATCAAAATTCACTCAATCTTGATAAAGTCAAGTTCTGATCATTCGTTATACAATATAAGAAATAAATCACTTCACTGATACCTATATGGTTCATAGAATAACCTTTTCAAGCATTCTCTCATACGCCATCCAAAATAGTTTGTAAGACGATGCTTAAGGTGAAAGGATTGGTAAATTCCAGCTTCGCCGAATTTTATTTTCGCCGACGACTATTTTCGCCGACTCCAACTTCGCCGAATAAAACTTTTGACCGAAAAATATCGAATCAAATTTGATCCATTCTAGATATAGAATTTTATCCTAACTAACTACTTTAATAGTGACTTGATTAATTAACCCCATCTGACTTGGTAACCAACTGATTTGGTAACCATCTGAGTTGGTAACCAAGTCAATTATATCTGCTGCTTTGTTTAAAAAGGTGCCAATAGGTGTAGATGTGAGTGTGGGATGCGGGGTGTGGGTGAGTGTAGGTGTGTGCGTGGGTTATCAACACAGATGGTTACCAACTCAGATGGTTACCAAGTCCGTTGGTTACCAAAACAGTTGGTTACCAAGTCAGATGGGGTTAATTAATCAAGTCACTATTAAAGTAGTTAGTTAGGATAAAATTCTATGTCTAGAATGGATCAAATTTGATTCGATATTTTTCGGTCAAAAGTTTTATTCGGCGAAGTTGGAGTCGGCGAAAATAAAATTCGGCGAAGCTGTACTAATTCTACTTGTTCTGTGTTGTATTGCGAAATATTGCATCAGATTTTGAAAGTATGCGAAAAAAGATTGATAGCAGCGGGTAGTGTCGATCTACCGTCCTCTGAGTTATGAGTTATGAGTTATGTGCTCAGCACGCTACCGTTGCGCCACGCTGCTTGTGCTCACTTTTCAGATAAATAGAAGTGATGATTCTTTCGTCTGTCATCCATGCATTATAGAACCTTCTGGTATGCAATCTATTGATATTTTTCTACCCAGTTACAAGTCAGATCACTTCAGTTGAAAGTATAAAAATGTATCGATGATATCAACTCTTTTTTACATCATTTTCATCCGATGAAAATTTCCAAATTCATCGATGAATTGAAAATATATGCGTGAAAGTGTACGTTTCATCATGGCAAATTGCACTTTTTTTATTTTCGGCATTATTTCTTCCAACAAAAGTTTTGATTAAAATGATGTAATTTACATCATTTTTTATTCCCTGTGATGGATCACGACCATAAGAAAGTAAAAGAAAAAAGAATGAATGAAAGAAAATAATAATAAAAGAAGTAAACTCGTGCGTCATAGAACCATCGAATTTGAAATAAATCGGAGAAAAGTTTCGTCCAACACATTAATATTTTCTTGGAAGAAAATCTCGTGATGCAGAGCGTGTCATGGTGCCTTTTTTAAACCGGTCTTGTTTACATCAACATATAGTCAATTATATGATATGGTTATCAGTTTTTGATTGATCTTTGAGTAATTGACTTTGCCATCGCTTTTTCGGTCATAAAAAATGTGGAAAACCTCGAACTTAAGTCCGAAGGTTATGTGTACTTCAAAAAGTGCATGAGACAAAGCAGTTATTCTAGAATGTGTGCATGGGAGAATTATCATATATGTTATGAGTAATTCTGAAAAAAATATTTTTTTGAAAAAATCCCTGTCTACCCCCTCAGGGATAGTCTTGTCAAAAATGACAATTTTTTCGATAACTCAGTCATTTCTTGACGGATCCTTCTCATCTTCGAATTCGACCGAGATATAGATGAGACAATTCTGTGCACAAAATTTCAGCTGAATCAGATGTAATTATGAAGAATTATTGCGCACACGGACGGCCGGGCACACTGACCGATGCTAGAGTGTACTCACTTTTTGAGTGCACAAAAAGGATCATGCCATGGCCTAAATATTTAGACGCTCGTTCAATCAAATATCATATATGGAGGCGTCCGACAAACCAGCATAGGAGACTTTGACTTGGCAGATTAGTTTTTTTTTGAACATTGTTTCGTCAGTATCTCTCGTAAGTATGCATACTGAATCAAGACTGAAAGTTTTGCCATCGACTTCTCGCCCCAATTCCAATATATCCTTCAAATTACAGCTCTTTTGCAGGTTTCTGGGCCGATGCTGAGTTTTTTATGACTTTTCAAAATAGTCATGCAAAAATATTACTAAACTGAAAGCAAAGACAACACTTGTATGTTTCTAGAAAAACAGTCATTTTTCCTATTATAGACGACTTGCGACGCGCATTTATTGTATTTTTGTTCGAAATTTCTCTGCCATAGTGTGATGAAATTGCATATATCCGATTAAATTTTCATGTGCTATCGAACGCTGTTTTAATAAACAAAAAAGAAAAGTTTTGACAATATTATTTTTTCGATGCCATGTTTGCTATTTTTGTACATTTCTTTTTCTTTTGCATATGAAATGGTGTAAAATTACACAAAAATATTCTGACAGCGACGTTATATTGCATATTTACATTGACACAACATGTTGTGAAATACTTCGTCATATCCCTGTTGTAGTGAATTGCTATAAATTGAAAAGTAACACAAGAAGAAACATCGACTTATAACAAATCATGGCCGAAGACACAGGGCACACTTCTGAGAATGATCCACATATTTCTTGGAATGATCTCTCTGTATTGGATATTAAAGAATGTACCCAATCACAATTTCTGGAAGTTCTCACGAATTTGGACGAAATCTGTACGAGCCAATCAGCAGACAAACGAACAACATTTATTGAGCATGTCTACCGCCGAATGCTTCTTACGATCTCTCGAACGACAAATATTTCACTGGATCGAATCGTTCCAGTAATTAAGCAGTTGACTACATACAGTCCAGTAATGACAATTTTAACTGTCGATGACTTGAAAAACATGAATATAGAGATGGAGAAACGATCCGTGATAATTCACTTTGATATGAGTGGATCAATGTCAACATCGGGCTTCGATCCATTGGTAAATTCTCTTAAACATTTATGTAAAAGCTTACATGATCAAGGTATTGAAGTATATGTGTCATTGTTTGGTGGAAGTACAGAAGGAGTGCATGCGGCTCTCGGTGGGCGATTACTCACATCAGAAGAATTCAAAAATGGAAATTATCGACCTAATGGTGGCACTGCATTTTGTCCGTCTTTCGAACGAACCAAACTATTCCCAACTGCTTATGATGCAATTATAATTTCTGATGGTGAATTCACTGACTCCGTTTCTTTGTTGACATTTCAAGAACATTGTCAAACAGTCTTCTTCGTTGCGCCTCCGTGGTCTCCGCTGGGGATCGAAAAGAAACATGCTAGAACAATTTCATCCTGTGTCAAACCGAATGTTCCCTACATTGGCATAGCTTCCGATGAATATCCTCAACTTGAATGTATCATTAACAGATTCTTACGTGAAAACAACACTTTTGCCCAACTAACTGGATTCGTTACCATTGGTACCTTTGTTCTTCCATCGAGCATTCTTGCACCAACTCGAATGCGGCAAATTTTCATCAATGCTGTTGCACAAGGCGAAACTCAATTACAGGCTTTAACAAGGAAAATTATCGGTCTTTTTCGATACCTCGAAGAAACGGCTAAACTCAACTTTGAGCGATGTGTCCGAGGTGAAGATTTTCGAAATTTGATGTCGTTGGTCAATCCATTAATTCGATCGGCACAGGTTCATTTAGAGACAAGTGTCGCCTGTCAACAACTGTACGGTTATTTAGACAAGATTGTGAGTAGTTTTGCTATTGAAAAGAAAAAATTGTTGAAGAATAATGCCCACGATCCAAAGTTCACAGCCGAATTACAGAAATTTTGGGATGATGCTATGACTTACAGTGAAAGAGAATGTATTATCGAAGAAAACATACGACGATATGGACAACCCATTGGTTTTTTGAATATCCACACAGATCGGTTACTGTGTACAGGCGAAATTTTGTCGGAAGCATTACAACAATTGAGAAGACTCTATGTTCTGGAAAGTCCAGATTCTCTATCACTTGTTTTTGAGCTTTTGTTTATGTCAACCATTGACGATCAACCAACTCCTGGTCCTGAAGATTCACGCATTCTTATCTGGAAGAAACCAGATGGTATCGTAGATTTGTTGTCAATCCTACGCCAACTACCTTTTTGTCTTCAGCAATATCAATATGGAAAAATGATTTCACAAGATTGTCCTTGGACCCTGCAGCCAATGGCAGCTACTCGATTAGCTTGGGTAATGGATGTATCACATCGACCGTTTCCAGATTTCATTCTACAATCATTGCCCACGCTAGTAAAACCGTGCAAATTTTTAACTGATCTCGATCGCGATGAAAATCGAGAGGTGTTTTGGGCGAAGATTATACGTGAACTTGCGTCAAAAATTGATCTATCAATCGAGAATTTACAACTGGTTAATCAGATTCTCACTGTTTATGGAATAAAAAATTTCATAATGAGATTATATGATAGATCGATCACTTATGAGAGACCACTCTATGGGAATGCCTCGCCATACATCGATACAGACGAACCTACAGCTTGGTGTATCTTTGTTAACAAGATGGGTGAACGAGTCGATCCTCGTACCGGTGAACTCACAACTCAATCGAGGCTTATTACTGACCCTAATCAAATAGATAGCTGGTACCGCTCCAATCTGACAGCACATGGGTCTCTAGTTCGACCACGATATTTAACTCGGATCGAGTTTCCACTTTTACCAGATGATGCCATTGAACTATATCAGACCCCAAACCAAAAGGATACTGATACTTTGCGCAATCAGTTACTCGAACTCTATGGTAGCTCATACTCATCTGATCAAATCAATGCACATATCAATACTATTCGCGATCAATTCAAGGCAGTTCCGCGTGTAATGTGGGGATCTACCAATTTAATTACAGAGACCGTAGCTTCAATAAAAGAAGCGTGTCAAAATGCTCCAATAATAATAGAAAAGGTAATTGTAGATGTTACACGATCGAATGTTATTAATTACTTGTGCTCGCATTGTGATGATCTGTTTATTTCTGGGGCATTAACTGGTTTTGCTACCTACTCAACGATGGCGAGTCAAGAAGGAGGTGCAACTATTTCCAAATTCGACTATGCTATCGAATGTGGACAGAAAGCTATTTTGGAACCAACGATCATTCAAAATGTTCGCATACATCATTTGGATCAATCTAGTGTTCAACAATACATGAAACAAAAGTACAAACAATTGATGCAATCGATTCGTTTGATGGCACAACCACCTCAATTTTCGAGTCTGAGTGATTTACTACATAAAACACAATTGACAACGACCATCGATCGTGGATTCTTATCGGCAGGTACAACTGAAAATGGATCACAAACAAGACTCAACAAAACACTCTTCACTTGTCCTATTACACTCGATATTATGGAAAATCCTGCAATAACCACACCTTGTGGGCACATGTTCGACATGAGTGCCATCACTGAACACTTGAAAACAGCTAATAACATTTGTCCAGTGTGCCGAACAACGATAACAGATGTGGCACACAATGATGCGTTTAAGGCTGTTATTGAAGCTTGGCTATCTCATCAGACTGAATAGTTTTTGCGTAAACGAGGTGATACGATCTTTTTTGCTATATTTCTAAACCAGACATTCTATACTGACAGAAAATAAAGATTAAAGTAATTTCATGATAAATTCCATTGAATTGAAATCTATGCATTCCATGGAAAGGAAAATAATGATGACAATTTCTGGAACTCTGCGCATTTCTCAAATATACCCTAACTCACTGAGACAAATATCTGCTAAACTTTCAGTGCAATCTGTTGAGCTGTTCACGAGATATTGATGGATTGGGTCCCTCTTGGTCACAGTTGAAACCGGTTCGGCTAATTTTTGCCGGTTGAAAAAGTTTTTATAGATGTGTCATCATTTCTCTTGTAAAACAGTTTCATACACCATTTCCATGTTCTTATCGAATTAGCCTATCAGTTTCCATTAAAAAATCAAGACCAGACTCTGGATTCTGTTTTGATTTTTTGTCAATTTTAAATCAAATCAAAGCAATGTTGAAAGTGAGGCTTCATTGAATTGAATAATTAATTATTTGACTTTTAGATTAAACATGTTTGCATTTATTTTAATTTGTTGAAATCTGCTCCTAATGAAAGATTAAAAAGGAGACGCTTTTACCGGTTTGTAAAACAACTTGTGCCAAAGTCCCTCTATTGTATTTCTTAAATTAAGCAATAACTCATGTATAATTCAATTACAAGTTTACTTCAAATTATTAACTAAAAATCAAATAGGCACTCATCTTAAGGATGTAATGCGTAACAAAAGATAAATTTTTATCATAGTCGAAATAAAATCTATTCATTTTATACACATGAGATAAGAATCGAAGTTTGATTCAGGTTCAACTCTTAACATTGTATTTTTGTGAAACACGATCTGGGTGTGGGTGTGGGTGCGTAGTGATGTAAACACACACACCCAAATTTTGTTTGAAAGTAAGGTTCTTAAAGAATTTTGTGGTAAAATTGGCATAAGATTATTGAATATAACAGTTTTCTTTACAGTTTGTATATCATTTCATCTCATCGGTAACATCTTATCTTATGTACGATTGTTTGACTTCTACAACTTTACCTTTATTGGAACAATACATGTCTTCTCCGATGCCTCTGTATATAAGATTGAATATTCATGTCTTTTGAAGTCAAAAGATATAATAAATTCCTAGTGACGATGAGAGGTAGGTCTAGTAAAAAATATTTAAAAAAGCCGAGACGCTTTTTTGTAATTTTTTTTTCTTTTTCGGTGCTCAGAACTGTATATGACCAGACACAGCACCTTTCACTTCTTTTGTAATTTTTTTGTGAGTTTTGCTTTTATTTTATTTTTTTTTTATGATTTGTGATTTTTTTATTTTTTTATTATTTTGTACATTTTATTATTTTTTTTCCTTTCGATTCTTTCTCGGAGCGCCTTGCGCTACGCGTTTACTATTCCAACTACTATTTACAATGCTTCATCTTTGAAGTTGTGTAATCACATAACATATTCGAGGCGGTGACCGGACAATTCGTTGCAGGACAATTCGTTGCATTAATATATAATAAGTCGATGACGTCTTCGATCAAGTGTGATTGAATAAAAATTAAATTAATAGATAAAACGCTTATCTTGTTATCTTTTTGATTGTGATTAAAATTAAATCAATAATTTGTAGATTCTCTCTATCAGTATCTATTCATATATTAAATATCTAATTGGCTTACAATTTATAAATAAATGACGTTTTGATAGAATACCCTTTCACTTTAGTTTGCTCTCTAAAAAAATATCATCAGACATTTTCACTATGGGTAAAATAGAAATATTTTCAACTGAAAAAGGAAAACCATTGCTGGTTTATGATTCATATGTATACAATTTAGAACGAAAAACTAAACTAAAATCAATATTTCGATGTCAGAACCGTGATTGCAAGGGTAAGTACACATATTACGGACATCAAAATATTGAATTTATTATTTATTTTGTAAGGGCGCATTCATACTAACTTATCAATGGACTCAATTTCATCAGGGCCAACTGCACATTCTCATTCAGCAAATCTCGACAAAATGTCGGTTATAAAACTACAGAAGGATATAAAATCTCGCGCTGCCATTAGTGAAGAACCAACAAGCAACATTCTTCATTCTGCATTGAGAACTTTTCCTTTGCATTCTGCCGGTTCACTACCCAAGAATGATTCATTAATTCGCTCAATTCGTCGTCAACGTCAAGTGGAACCGCTCGATAAAGACGGGAGACTGCCAAGCAATTTGAGAAAAACAGATCGTGGAGAAGATTTTGTTTCTAATGAAAATAAACAATTAATAGTATTCACAACGAAATCTAACTTATTGGTTCTGAAAAATTGTAAACACTGGTTTGCAGATGGGACCTTAAAGGTAAAAATAAAATATAATTCTCACACGCTATTGTATAAATTATATTTATATTAGGTTTGTTCAGATGATTTCTATCAGCTGTTTACGTTGCACGGGTTATTCATGTCTAGTGTCATTCCACTAGTTTATGGTGTTTTGATTGGAAAAAGTTTTAATGATTATAATGAATTCTTTGAACTTATTTTGAAACAAAATAATTATGCTCCAGAATCGATACTAACCGATTTTGAAGCAGCTAAAATAAAATCAGTGCACAAGTTATTTCCGAATATTCTTCATAAAGGTGACAACATGATTTTGTTTGAGTGTAAATCTAGCATGCTGATTCTTCTTTCAGGTTGTTTGTTTCATTTTGGTCAATGCGTATGGCGAAAATTTCAGAGTTGTGGTCTAACAAAAAAGTATCATGATGATCAACATTTTCACATCAATGTGAAAAAATTAATTGCGCTAGCATTTGTTCCAGTTGTAGATGTTGTGAAAGCATTTGAATTGCTTGAAAGTGAATTTGACGATAACGCCGATGAACTTATATCTTATTTCGAAAAAACGTGGATCGGTGAACGCAAGAGACGGGGTAATATTATTAATCAAATGCTACTTCTTATAACTAAATTTTTTTCAGTGAATGGTCGAAAAATACCACAATTTACTCATGAACTATGGAACGTCTACGATCGCGTAGTAGCTGATTTACCTAGATCTAACAATGCTATCGAGGGCTGTCATAATGCATTTGCAAATCGTGTGCTTACCGCTCATCCAACAATTCCAAAGCTGACCGATAAAATTCGTCGAGAACAATCTAAATTTGAAATCGATATAGAACAGAGTCGTCAAGGTCATGAACCAAAACCAAAAAAAGCTTCCTATCGAAAGCTTGACGAGAGAATTAAACGGCTTGTTCAAGCATACAACAATAACGATTTAGTTCAATATTTAAGTAGTGTGGCAGCTAATGTAAATTTGTAAACATAATAATAGGCAAATATAAATTTATTTATTTAATTTTTCTTATCACTGAATTTGCTCTTCTTATCATTGTATTGTATCTCTTTATCATTTAATCAATAAAAAAATTATATAAATTATTTGATTATAAAGTTATACTGATATAAGTAGCGTAATCCAATAATTATTTATATATGCAACGAATTGTCCTAGTACCATTCGAGGCATCAATACGGACTAGAACAACGTCAGAAAGGGGTTTGGATGAAACAAGTTCTTGACTCTTATCATGTTTGTTACATAACTATTTGACTAGATGATTTTCTCTCTGCAGGAAAAAGTAAAGCGTTTTCATGTTCCATCGAAACGGCTTTATCATACACTTCTATCAGAGAAAACTGTGTCAAAATGAACAACAAACAGATGTTGATAAAAGGCAGTCAACAGAATTTAACAAAAGTTGATTGAGGTTCCAGTTGAATTTCTATTGCTCTACATTACTGAAGCAATTCATTCGCAATCGAAATTTGAATTTTTTCATGAAAGTATCAGCTATCATCAAATATGTTTCTCAAACAGCATACATCGATAAATATGAGTGGTCCTGCTGGGGAAAAGAAACATTCGCATGAAGCACAGATCTAACTAACCTAGACTGGGATCCATGACAATAGTTACTCAACGGGCGTAATCATTGGCGTCAAAAACTTGATCTTCGCTTAATAATCTGCCCATGATGACTGCTACTTCAGCATCGGCACATGTTGACCATGTTCCAATCTCCTTTTCACTCGAAGTAATTGTCCTTTGAAAATATTACAACTGTGTGTCTTTAATCGTATTCATAGTCAATACTTAGCAGTCTTGTTCTGCAGTATACTTGGGTGTACAATATGCTCTTTTCTGTCAGTAAAACTAACTATTCTGCTTACATCCATCAACATTGCCTCCATTGGCACAAACAAAGCATCTATCTGCGTTATGTTCAGCTGCATTGGCACCAATATTCTTTCAACGTTTTGATTGACTCCAATCGAAAAATATTACTTCAGGTGGTAATATCGTCAAATATAATCACTTTTTATTTCTATATTTCAAGATTGAAAACCCCATGATTTCTATTTGATTTGCTTTCATATAACTAGCAAACGGTATCCTCAACAACATAGATGGAACCGGTCGAGTTTTTTCTGCCCAAACCGGACCGGCCAGTTACCTGCCGGTCTATAATAATGCTAAACTGGCAAAAACCGGCAAAAAATCGGCTGGTCTATATTAATGCTAAAATTGGCAAAAAACCGGCGGGTCTTTTCATGTAGTTTGACCAAATTTCAGTATTTCTACGTATTTGTATGTATTTATATGTATTTCAAAAATACAGTAATATGCAAAAATAAATTGGAAATACATAGAAATTCGTAAAAACACTTAGAAATACTTCCGAAATAGATAGAAATATGAAAATACAGAAATACGCGTTTCCCCCTTTGAGTTTGAATTGTCGAAAACAGTATAAATGTAGTTTTGAAAGTATAACTCATGCTTCAAATATTAGAGTATCGCCTTTCACATACTCTATAAGACTATGCGACTGCTGCATAGCCTTATAGAATTAAAATAACACAAATTTTGTATAATATCATTTACAATTTAAGATTAGAATTTTATATTATCCACATGAAAACCTTAACTGTCCTTGTTTACGTCATCTACAGACCAAATATTTTTGATGTTCTATAGAAATATGACTAAAAAATTGCGCAGACCGGTCGGTCTGACATCTCCGCCCGGACCGGACCGGCAACCGGCAGACCGGCCGGTCCGGTTCCATCTATGCTCAACAATGATGCGTATGAGCGGATGTGAGTGTGCGTGTGGGTGTGCGTGGTTGTATGAGTGTGTGCATGTGATCACGCCCCACCCACACCCAGAATACTTCTTTACGTAATAATGAAGTACTTTCATATATAGTATCAACGTAATATTGTTAATTACTTTATTTATTGGTGTATAATTAATTTCATTTTGATATAACTTAATAAAGAAAACATTATCAAATTGAATGCCATTTTTTGACCTAAAAATCGAACTTTTCACCATCGTCCGTTCCTTCAAACGAGTTTTATAACAAAACTAACTATTAGGTATAGTTTTTATTGCCGAGATGTATACTTTTATAAAGTAGAAATGGGACAATTCAATTGGGGTCGATTTCTGTAGAAATCGCCCCTGCTTTACGATGTTTTTCGATTCTTCGATATTTTCATGGAATGTCTCTTAAGAATTCAAATTTGGAGAATTCTATGTGCGAGATTTATACTGCCCGTTTTCTATCTTTGTGCCTGTGATGATATTAGCTAAAAAAGCAGCTTCAAGGAGAAGCTTTGATTCTTGTTGACGTGAAAAAAAGAATGTTCTTTATCTTATTAAGTCACACGACGTCTAAATTGAAAAAGATAACGATATTTTTCGAAGCTATAACATATTCATTCTTATATAATAAGCATTTTTCAGCACTCGGAATTTATTGTGTACGCAACTGTTAAAATTATTTAAGATTCATGACTGATAGAACGACTGATACACTTGTTGATCATTTAAGTGCCAAGAGTACGGCTTTGCCAATGGAAACCAAAACATATGAGAAATTCGATTTTGATGACTCCATCGAAGTGAAACGGAAAAGCAGAAAGTTTGTGTAACGAACCTAAAGAAAATTGTAACGATATAGCATTGTCGGTATAGGGAACTAGGTACCCTGCTCAAAACTGTTCTTGCTCTAGTGGTGATCGCTATTGTTGCGACGGCCGTAATTACTCCAACCGTTCTCTTAACTCGGCCAACAGCACAGTTTACAACTACATCAACAACCACGAATTCGTTAGCTATATCATCAACGGTCACTACTACGACACCAAAGACGATGAGTGAGATTCGAGCACACTAGAATATCTATTTTTACATCTCTTTCTAACCATGCACTCCAAAAACATTGTTTGTTTACCGAACCTGTTCCCAGCGGAGGAAACGTTTTGGTTCCGTATGAAACTCCCAAACTTAACCAGGATTCGATAATTTCTCACAGAGCCAAAAAAGACTCGGTATTTTCATACAGAACCAAAAGGTTTTTCCCTTGGGCACAGGTTCCCTAAAAATCTTTCTTTTTTAGTGTAGTGACTTACATATCGGAAATGTCGCTTGGAATGTGGATGAACGTACGACCCACGCCCTCAAATTAAGATCTACTATGAGACACCTTTCATATTATAAAAAGTCATCATGTGTAGATCTATTAAAATATCTGTATAGAATACTTAGAAATCCACTGGGACCTATCTCCAAAGAAGCTGAAGTGGTACTCATAATCTCTAGCGATCCTCCTTGATTTCTTGCAATGCATATGAAAATCTTTCTTCGTCAAACTATTCAAATGTTGTTCTAGTTAGCATATCAGCAGTAGACTATTACCATGGCGTGGGTGTGTGCTGTGCTTAGATGAAGAGGCATGCACATACACCCGCACCCTAATTACATTAAATTGTATATCACTTTCTGTGCCAGACGTAAACTATCTGATTTGTTTACGCATATGCTCTATGATAACCAATAGCGACGAATACTAGAACTGCAACTACAACTACCACTACAACTGCCACTACAACTACGACTACAACTGCAACTACCACTACCACTACAACTGCCACTACAACTACGACTACAACTGCAACTACCACTACCACTACAACTGCAACTACAACTAAAACGCCTACTCAGCAACTGGGTAAGCTTTTTTAACGCTTATTGACTTTACTCAATTCTAATTTGTAATCAAGTGTACATAGTTAGTTTTTATGCAAAAGCTACTTTGCAGGTTTGAAAGAAAGCAATGGAGCGAAGAACATATTTATTTATATTTATGTTCTATTCTACGTCATTCGCTGGACTGATGATATCATGATCAGTGAACTTAGAGAAACATTCTTTTATTTACACTACAAATAGTTTGATCAGAGCAAAATGAAAATGACTACTGATATAAATACTATTCATATGATGAGGAAATAAATTTTTAAATGAGCAAACTGGTTTAGTTATTAATACTGCTTGTAATGTCCGGAGATATCTGTCCTGACATAAGTATCGTCTCTCTTTTTCTCTCGGTTTCATTCTATCACGTCTACAATCACTCCATTCTTCTTCTCGTATCTATTCTATTTAAGTGAGTGTTAATGTTTAAAGCAGGGGAATTATTTGTGAATGAGAATGTAATAATAAGAAGAAGGCGAAATAAAGAAGAAGATAATAAAACTGCTTTTTATTAATGTTGAAAGAATTATTAATTTATTGAGCAAGTAGACTAAAGGGTGACTACAAAGTCTCGACCTCTTTCGGTAAATTGGCGTTATCTATATGAATATACGCGCAGATAGTTGATTGAAATTTTATCGTAGTTGTGAAAAGTCATGATCATTTTATTCTTGATGACTAAGTAAAAAACACGTTATATTGTTTGAAAAACAAAATATGCTTGTAATGTCTGAAGCGAAATATCGTTTTCTAGGTATTTTTATATGGTTCGATAGAGCTCGTTGAGTTCTACAAGAATATAAATATCAAAAAATATTTTGATGCTGTTTACAATTGAAAACTCAAAGGAAATCGGAAAGACTAATAAAAATTTCACATATCTTGCATAAGAGAGGGTATGCTGAACTCGAAATAACTTCAGCTGATCGACTGTTCTGTCTGTTCAGGAAGCTCGGAAAGATTATTTTCAGCTTCAGTATGTGACATTGCATCTCGAAACATATATTAATAGTTAACCAGCGAGAGTTATTGAAAGTCAAGCGTACTCTCTAATGCAAGATATGTCAAATTTTTATTAGATTTTCTGGTTTCCTCCACGTTTTGTTTTGGAAGAAGGATCAGAATCCTTGTTTAATATTCATATTCTTGTAGAGCTTATCAAACTCTATCGGAGCATATACAAATATCTAGTAAAAATTTGTAGAAAATAATGTTTCACTCGACTTACATGGCTCAAAAATAAAAAATGTAACATGTTTTTGTTTAGCCATCAAGAATAAAATAATCATAATTTTTCATAACTACGATAAAATTTCAATCAACTATCTGCGCATATATTCATATAGATACCGCCAATTTTAAGAAAAGTTTGTTTCACCACACTCTTTAGACAAACTTTGATTGTTGTTTTTTTTTAAATGAACTATCAATTAAAAGGAGTAATAATGAATATTTGCTCTGCATCTAACGCTGCTAATTATCAGAGAGCAGCATAAGAACCATTGGGATCGTTTTTAGACAACTGATTTTCGTCCTGTTCGAAGTTTTTTTCAGGTTTTATACCTTCTTTACACGTATTTATGAGTAAGATTCTAGAAGGCGTCAGCATCATCTCTATTTCACAGGAGCTGATGCCAACCAGTACATAAAAGCGATTTTTTTTTTCCAAATCAGTGACAGAGTTGTTATGAAAACTTCTGAATTGATTTTCGCCGCGGTCATCTTCGGAACTATTTCTCTTGATCCTGAGAGTATTTAATACAGAAATTCTCCTATTTCGCGATCTTCTTGACAGTTTTTTTTCAGTGATTCGTTTTTCTAAAAGATCCAAGATACTCCATATTTTATACTTAAAGAGATCTTTTTAAAAAACTCTCACTGAATCCACGTGAATCCCTATTAAAGCTTTGAAAGCCATTGATCATCAACGTCCTCTAACACATGACCAACAGAGTTCTTTTGGTAGATTCTTTCTCTCATTAACCTTTAGTGTAACATGAATGATCTTCTACGCTCAAAATAATCTCTAAAACATTAAGTTTAGCGATTCAATGTAAGAATACCACGAGAATTCTTCATTCTTTCAAGACTCCCTGAATTCATGCGATTTCCTATATGAATTGTTTAAGTTCTCTTCCCAACAGAAAGATCTTTGCAGAAAATATCAACAAATCTCCTTGCCGGACTGCTCTCTCATCAGATTCTGAAGAGATTTCTCATATTTATATTCACGCGAGGAGAAACCCTTTCGAGCACTTTATCGAAAGATCTTATTTTCGGGATATTCCACTCTCTCGAGGTATGTTCAGATTTCCGAAAAAGGAAATTACAGAAATTTCCGAAGCTTCCATCAACTCGATTACTAAATAGAAAAGCAAATGAAAATTTTTTGAAAATATTTGAAAGTTTAGAAATTTCGGAATCTTCTGTAATTTCGGAAATTTCGCTTTGTACAGAATTTTGGAAATTTCAGAAATTTCGGAAATTGTATAATTTTGGGAAGTACCAAACAATTTAGAACACAAGTACTTGAAATTTCCAAAACTTCCAAAATTTCCTTTTTTGGAAGTCTGAACACTGCTGACTCTCTCACGTAAGAGAGGGATGACGAGGAGCTCTTTTTATTATTTGTTTCTTTTAGTCATACCCACTATTTCTGTCAATGCCAAATGGGTACAGACTGGCGTGACTGTTGCTGGAGGCCACGGGGTAGGCAGTGTCACCAATCAATTCCAGTACCCTCGCCGTCTCTTTGTTGACGATGACCAAACAATGGTCATTGCTGACCAGTACAATCATCGTATCATTCAATGGAAGAAGGGTGATACGAATGGGCAAGTCGTCGCTGGTGGGAATGGCAAAGGAAGTGGATTGAATCAATTGTATGTTTCAACTGATGTGTTGATCGACAAAGAGACGGAGAGTCTCATTATTTGTGATCAATCGAACCGACGAGTCGTGCGTTGGTCTCGTCGTAGTGACACAACTCAAGGAGACATCGTCATTGACAGGATCCGTTGTGTCGGATTAGCCATGGATGATCAGAAATATCTCTACGTCTCTGACGACGACAAACATGAAGTAACACGGTATCAACTGGGCGACAAGACTGGAACACTCGTAGCTGGTGACAATGGTCAAGGTGATGATCTCAATCAACTCAACTGGCCGACCGATCTCTTTGTTGATCGACAACAAACTATATACGTGTCTGACAGCGACAATCATCGTGTGATGAAATGGAATAAAGATGCAAAAGAAGGCATTGTTGTCGCTGGAGGTCAAGGCCAAGGGAATGCTCTGACACAATTTTTTTCCCTCAAGGGCTGTTCGTCGATATATTGGATACGGTCTATGTGTCAGACACGAATAATCATCGACTGATGCGTTGGTCTCAAGGGGCGAAACAAGGCACAGTGATTATAGGTGGGAATGGGGAAGGAGCAGGAGCAAATCAGTTCAACACTCCGGTCGGTTTGTCCTTCGATCGACATGGCAATCTCTATGTCACCGATACTGACAATAATCGTGTTCAACGTTTTTCTCTCAAATAGATTCGTGACGATGTTTGAATTTGATCTTTCTTTCAAATAAAGGAAAAAGAAATTTTATCTACTTTTACTATTCGCGAACGTGAAGCTCATGCACGGACGGGACATGATTCGAATCATTCTCTTTCATAAGAAAAACGATATGAACTTCAATGCTGAATTGTTTTTATCTCTTTGATCGGAACAAAAAAGTTGAAAAGAAAACATAATGGAATTGATTTATTTTCAATTAATTTATTGAAAAAAATAACTACTGGAATTATTTTTACTTATTATTAATATTCACGCGAGCGCATGCTCTTCGCGTACAACAAGACCCATCGTGCAAATTCCATGCAACTGATGAATCTTGTGCAGGTAAGTTTGTGTGTTGCGGACACCAGGGTAGCCTGCCCAGTGTTTAACGCCGCTCCGGAAGGCCTCACCTTAGGACATGCTAATTACAATAGAGGATTTAAAATGATACTTTTTATGTCTGAAACAGAAATAGAAAGAAAAGAAAAAAAATAAGTATCCAAAACTAAAAATAAATAAATGGGGGAAAGGCTGAGACAAAAAAAATCACTAGAAAAGAAACATCTAAAAATGCATAATAAAAGAATGTAATAATATTTAAAAAAAATAGAAGAAGAAGAAAAAAAGAGGGAGAATGATTTCTAAATGTCACACATGTTACATTACATTTGTATGTGTGTATGACATCAAACGTAATTGTCTAGTACAATATGGATAATCTCCCTGTTTCTTTTGTTCTGATTGGTCATCGATGTTATAGCTATATTAGTAGAGATCAATCAGTGCAAAAGATGACAAATAGAACATGTGAAAAGAGAGAAAAAAAATCATTGTTAACATTAACAAAATATTTTTGCTTTGATTTTTAATACAGAATCGTCTTATAGTCGTTTTGTATATATGTGTCGATGAAAAATAAGAAAATCAATCAAAATCATGTGCTTAAAAAATTGCAGAATAATTTGGGTGTGGGTGTGTGTGGCTTTTATCTTCATTTACACCTCACACGATGTCCTCAATATCAGTTAGAGATTTAGATCTAATCTACAACAATTTCACACGCGTAATAAAAGTTCCAAACATATAATATATTTAGGAAAGAAGTTGAATTCTCATGACAATCATTTGCAATGCGAATAGGAATAGGTATTGATTTGAGCACATCGTATTCTTGTGTCGGTGTGTTTCGACATGGAAAAGTTGAAATCATTCCTAATGAAGAAGGAAATCGTATAACACCATCGTATGTTGCATTCACTGACGAGGAAATATTAATTGGTGATGCTGCTAAAAATCAAGTAGGTATGAATCCATATAACACTGTGTTCAACACTCAACGTCTTATTGGACGTAAATACAGTGATGAAACAGTTCAAGGTGATATGAAGAATTGGCCATTTAAAGTAATTAATGAAGTTGGAAAACCTAAAATCCAAGTTCAATATAAACATGAAACAAAAGTTTTTACACCTGAAGAAATTTCTTCATTGATTTTAGCAAAAATGAAAGAAATAGCTGAAACTTATCTTGGTCAAGAAGTAACCGGAGCTATTATAGCGGTTCCAGCTTATTTTAACGATGCACAACGTCAGGCAACAAAAGATGCTGCTACTATTGCTGGTCTTATTGCTTTACGTATAACAAATGCGCCAACCTTAGCTGCTATTGGTTATGGTGTCAACAAAAAACTATCAAGTGAACGAAGTGTTTTAATTTTTGATTTAGGTGGTGGTACCTTTAATGTTTCAATTCTAACAATTGAGGAAGGAATTTATGAAGTTAAATCAACAGCTGGTAGCGGAAAATCTTTGTTTCCCTATTGAATTTTCGGACATTTGATTTTAGGTGATACGCATTTGGGTGGTGAAGATTTTGATGATAGAATGGTTCAACATTTCATTCAAGAATTTAAAATAAAACATGGCCAAGATTTAAATGAAAATAAACCTGCTGTTAGACGATTGCGTACTTCTTGTGAATGTGCTAAAGTATAAGAATTATTTCGTATCTTACTAGAAAAAACAAAATGAACGTACTTTCTAGCGTACATTATCAACATCAAGACAAGCGTCTATTGAAATCGATTCATTACATCAAGGTATTGATTTTTATTCCACCATAACGCGTGAACGTTTCGAAGAAATCAATACTGATCTATTCTGCTCAACACTGAAACCTGTTGAAAAAGCTTTGCGTGATGCTAAAATGGATAAAGCATCAATCCACGAAATAATTTTTGTTGGAGGCTCAACACGTATTGAAAAAGTACAAAAACTTGTGCAAAATTTCTTTGATGGTAAAGAACTTAATAAGTCAATTAATCCAGATGAAGCTGTTACATATGGTGCTGCTATTCAAGCTGCTATCCTTACTAATGATAAATCTGAAATGATTCCACATGTACTTTGGTTTGATGTCGCACCGATTTCATTGGTAAGTTCATTCGAAACAATAACCAAGAGTTCTCGAGTAAAATGTTTCTTTAAAGGGTATTGAAACTGCTGGTGGTGTTATGACAGCATTAATTAAACGTAATACAATAATTCCAACAAAAATATCCCAAGAATTCACAACATCTATAGATAATCAATCGGCTATATCAATTGCAGTTTATGAAGGTGAACGCTCAATGGCAAGAGATAATCATTTATTAGGAGAATTCGAATTATCAAATATTCCAGCAGCACCCCATGGTGTACCACAAATTGAAGTTATATTTGACATTGATGCAAATAGTATATTAAATGTATCAGTTATGGATAAAAGTTCAGGAAAAGAAAAGAAAATTACAATTACAAATGATAAAGAACGTTTATCAAGAGATCAAATTGAACGTATGATTTCTGATGCTGAAAAATATAAAAAAGATAATGAAATACGATGTGAACGTATTACTGCTAAGAATTCACTTGAATCTTATTGTTTTGATATGAAAACAAACATTATTGACAACAAAATGACAAGTAAGTTTGGTGATTATAACAAGAGGAAAATGCTTGATGCCATCGAAGACATGTTGGAATGGTTGAAAGCAAATCAAGTAAGAACTATTTTATTTATTTTTTCTGTAAATTTTTTTCTTGAAGCTTGCTGCAAAGGAACAATTGGAAGCAAAATTAAAAGAAATTGAACAAATATGTACATTGATGTCGGCGAAATTCCGTTTAGATGAACATGATGCTGAAGAAAATTCAGAACGATCTGCCAGTCATGCAATGGGTATGACCAGTTCTGAAGCTCTTTGCTTCATTATAAAGAGTAGTGAAAGATGTGTAGGTTTTTCTTCCCATAGCATATCTTGTTTTGAAATTTTTAAGGTAGACAGATCTTACCTACTAGTGGAGATATACGGAATGCAAAGGTCTAACGTAAGGGCTTTTATTATTTTGCAGTTTTTCATAATTTGGTAGGATCTGCATACTTTAACAAATTCAAACTGAAAAGTCATTCGGCAGTAAAAACTATTCGCTCATAAGAAACAGTGCGAGCCAGATAAAAATATCACAAGCAAGAAAATCATTTGATAACTAATATGAATCATGCAAATATAGAAGACTCAACGTTTTTCGTTACAATTACCGTTTCTAAAACAATTCGTGTTTTAGCCAAAATTATGTGCTCCAACGATCATACAGTGGAGGCTGAACTATGGTGCATGAATTGTGAACAAAGCTACTGTTCAAAATGTTTTGAACAAGTGCATGAGTTGCCTGCTTTAAAGAAGAAAAATCATGAATCAATACCAATACATCATAAACCATTAGGGTTTGTTCAGTGTGAAGAACATCATCGCCAAAAGCTTGAATTTCGGTGTAATAACTGTCAGAAACTTGTTTGCAATAGATGCGTAATTCTTAAGCATAGAGATAGTAGTCTTCATGAAATCGTGGAAATAGACGATGTAGCATTACATAAAACACATTTGGTTAGCATAAAATTGTTTTTTTAACTAATGCTGTAAGAAATGCTTCTCATTTCAATTTAGTTAGAAACTTTATGTAAAAACATTCAATCATCTCTAAACGAATGTGCAAAACCGTCTACTGACAATTCAGAAGATAGTATACAAACGGTTACAAGAACCTTTGAGTCCATTCATACAATGATAACCAATCGCGAAAAGGAATTCGTACGGAAAATACTTGAAATTCAAATAAAAACCAAGAAATTAGATGATCAACGCACGATTGAAATGGCTAACATACAAGAATTATTAAACAAGCATTGCAAAGAACTTAAAGATATGACGTCAAAAAATGACCCCACGATACTCTTAAAAGTACATGAAGAACTAACACAACATTTAACAAAACTTATGGAGAGAATAAAAGGAGTGAAGGTCCCGATTCAAACTAGATATCAAATTAAAGGAATCGACGAGCTAGAAGAAAAAATCAGCAATGTCTTTCAAACAATTCGTGCTATTGCACAGGATGACGGTATATCCTGACATTAAAACTTATATATTAACAAAATATTTGACTTTTGAGATATTTTATGTATGCTTATCAGGCTTATACTAGAATTCTGTATACTTTAATCAAAGAAAATTCCATATTTCAATAGCTTAATTGCATAATTCCAAACCTCCCCACAATCAAAAATCGTGATTCATTGAAGAAAGGGGATGATGCAGATATGAATGTCTTATTGTACACCTATCCACACCCACACCTTCAAGATAGAATTGTGTTTATGAATTAGAGAGCAGCAACTCCGCCATACGTTGCTAAAACAAATCCATGATCACTATTGTGACCAATCGCTAAATTAAAATTGATCTATTTGAATTTCCGAAGGAAGATAACATTCACATGATGCATGATTAAAACCTTTTTTGCTTTAGCCAATTTTTCAACATTTACTCGGTAGAATAAGATTGGATTGTCCTGTGAAATCGACTTTTGTAATTGTCGCACACAATCGTACAGAAGAGAAGTAGGTTTCACGTCATGTGGCATTTCATCAGATAAACGTTCAACAACTAATTGATGTGTATCAAAATCGAATATGAGATGATTTTGACAAGCAGTGGAACGTCCAGTATCAATCTAAGCTTCTACATTATGATAACCTAAACTACATCTTCAAGTTTTAGCGCTGACCTCATATTTTCCGATGCCATTCGACATAAAGTTGCACCTGAATCTTGCTCGATCTGTTTCAATAAATTTTCACGATAACCTATTATGTCGTCTCTTGAAAATGTTCTCCATCGGTCCAAATGATAATCATGACCATTGTTATTGGCAACTAAATATTGATCAACAAGCTTTTCTTCTGTATTTTCCAGAGCATGCTTTCGTTGACGAGTGAGAATCTCTAATTTATCGAATTCATACTGTTGATTATCGATACTCATGTCTGAATCAAATTTTTCATCATCTGAACTATGCAGTAATGTGCTTTTTTCCAAATGAAAACGTGATAAAAGATCTTGACGAATAAATTGTGCTTGATGACGATTAGTCATATAAGTGCGATCGACACTATGATCTAAATCGATCGTTGGTTGCCGTTTTATTCGATCTTTTTGTTCAACTCCATAAAGGGAACCATAACAATTTCGATTATAAAATACATCAGCTAAAAGTTTTTCCATTTCTACTTCACATACTTCATGTGTATTTCGATCATACTGCACAATATAACTCGTTGCAGTTCGTGAATGTTCTAATAGAAAAAAAGCATAAATGGCAGCAACATGACAACATTAATCAATGTGTTGGTGGAAAAATTCCGAATCGGAGAAAACAAAATAACGTTCGACTACCATATACACCATTGATTGTTGGAATAAATTTTTGTCGTAATAAGTTTTCTTCAAACTTCTTCACTTCCTCAGCTTCCCAAACAATTTTCAGTAATTGAAAATCAGGAAAAGCAAGTACTAAATGTTGAATATCTTGTTTATCTAAATGTTTAAGTATCGAAATCCACATTTCGACTGGTAATTGCTCGATTAATTTCTTTTGTTCATCTTGATTCATAATCGATTTTTCTGATTTTAATTGAAGTATATGCAGATAACAGTATCGAATCGATAATGAACGTTTCGTAGAATTCTCCGATATTGATTGATTGTACTGACTCGTTGTAATCAGTATAGATTTTTAATTCCATCTGTTGAGCTTCACGAAAAAGAATTTAAACATCTATGATAATCATCTTGTTCTTCTGGACTTATTGCAAATCATAATGGTTTTCTTTTCGTTTAACAACTACATCGGTTCTTAGTACGATTCTTTGTTTGACACCACTAGAATTCCTTATTTCCGGTGCTACACCTTCATGTAGAAGATTATGTGTAAATAGAACAGCGTGACCTTTCCTTGGTTTTATTGCGACGCATTCCTAGTCATCATCTAGCCCATCATAATCTTCGATTTCTTCTTTAATTGTTAATCATTTAGGAGAATATTTGGGTAATTGTTTTGGAAAATGAAATTTTTTTTCACCTTCTTCAAAATCATCATTTAAGTAAACGATTCAACTAAGTAATGATCGTTGGTCACCACTGGGTGCATATTGTGAATCTTTATGTGATGCAAAATATTCACTTTCGTGATATTTAATCGCATTGCTGTATTGACACCACACATTCCCCATGTTCCTTGAACATTGAAACCGAATGGTTTCGTATTCGGAATTAGTTTAGTTATTCGATGACTAAATTTTAAACGCCGCCAAAGTGTTAGAGCAAATCGGTCATCGAAAATAATCAATCTTGAATTGTTTCGTTTTTGAATATCATATTGTGTATTCATATTTTGGAAATCTTGTTCATTGAGATTCATGAGAATTCCATCGCATTCATTTATACTCAATAAAGTACTCAATTCGATTAAAATTAAGCCATCCTGTTGTTTTATTTTGTTTTAATTTGACACCATCCGGTAGTTTTGTTGGTACGTAATAATTTGTCAGTAACGAATGAGTTATACCCAAATCGATATTTCCCAGAAAATAGTTTCGATTCATTGAAATAATACGACGATGCCACATAGGTTATTACTCAACGTTGGTGTAATATAATTGTTCGACAGTAGGATGTGAGAGTGTGAGTCTCATGTATGTGAAAACAATTGAAAACCAAAGAATTTTTCTTCCAGATGGAGTCATGTGTAAGCATGAGAGAAAAGTGCAAGGTGCAGCTTTAGGACAATTTTATTTTATTGGTAGAAGTTATATGAGTCACTTAGAAATTCAGCGAATTAATATTTTGATTATCGTTGGAAAAAAACAAGAGCAACAATGTTTTTTTTACGAGATGTGTATTTTTCGTGGAATTGGCTAGAATATTATTATTACAAAATCAATTTATATGGCAACAGTACAGAGGAAATCGCCGTATGAAATACTCGGCGTCTCGAAGGATATCAGCTATTCTAAATTAAGAATAATTTATCGCAAGAAAATACATGAACACCTACAAAAGAAAATTTCGGTTACCGATTTTCGTCTTATTTGCCGTGCATACGAAACATTATCTGATAGTACGAAACGTAAACTTTATGATAATCGACAAGAATGGACTTTTGAACTACCCATCGATAAATACATTGCACAACAGCTTGCTAGTGAGCCAGCTCTAATCGATGGTCTAACAGAACGTCTACGTAATGCTAATTTAGCAGAATTAAATGCTCAAGATCCTATTACAGGTCATACAACTCTTTACTGTGCAGCTCGTGCTGGTAATATTGAAGCAGTCTTGTTTTTGATTGAACAGGGAGCAGAACCAGATTTATCACAACGTGGAAAACGTACGGCACTACATGCTGCTGCCTATTATGGACATGCGGATGTTGTTCGTTGTCTTCTGGAAAATGGAGCTAACTATCGATTGAAAGATGAAATTAATAATACAGCTGAAGACCAAGCATATAATGATGATGTAAAAATGGTATTTATTGAACTTAAACAAAGTGCTTACATTCGGGCAGCTGCCAATGAACTCGATTGGTTTTTCAAGAATGGATTAACTGTACATCAAGATGCAGAATATTTTTCTCATCGTGAAACGTTATTGCATTGTGCTAGTAAAAAAGATTTTTATGAACTTGTCCGTTGGCTCGTCGAGCGATGTGACGCTAATATGGATCTTGTTGATTTAAATGGCAATACACCTTTACATTTGGCTGCTTACAGTGGTCATATAAAGATTGTTGACTATCTTCTTAATCGTGGTTGCGATCCAACTGTTAAAAATCGTTGGGGTACAACAGCTGAAGACGAAGGTAATAAATACGGTAATAGTATTACTGGTCTGTTCAAATGTATGCGAGAACGTGATATGTTTGGGATGGCACGAACTGGCCCTATGTGGTGGTTTGATTATTATTTTAATAATGATTCAAAAGATCTATGTGATTCTAATGGTGCCAGTTTACTGTATCATGCATGCCGTTATGGACAATACGCTGTTGTAAAATGGTTATTAGAACATGGTGCTAATGTTAATATTGAAATAAAAAATAAACCAAATCATACTCCATTAAATGTAGCGAAATTTCGTGGCCATGCTTTAATTGTTGAACTTTTACTTGAACATGGTGCGGATGTGGATATTGAACATGATTTCGGAGCAAGCGTTTTTGAAGATGAAATATCGAAAGAAGTCCATAGAGATGCATCAGTTAAAACTAGAAATATCTTATTAAAATATCATCACCACTTGATAGATCATAAACCGATTGATATCTATGTGTATGAAAGTGATGGTGCTGAAGATGAACCAATGTTAAAAACGAAATTGGGACTTTTGTCCACATATCAGGATCTATCAAGAGAACTATCTATTGTTTCCGGGAATTTTAAAAATCCTTGCTTCTCTATTGCAGGACGTGCGCTTTCCTTCGAGACAAAAGATACAACTATAATATCAGCTGTAGGTCGTTCACGATATACTAATTCGAAATGTATTGATACACCAATATGTCTTACGCGTCACAAAACATTACCTAATCGATCTACAAGTCATCAATCAGTTCATCAGGAATCTATATTAAACCTTCGAAACATCCGCAAGAAGTTAATTTCCGATGGTAAAATAAAATTGTTTACATTGAAACTTCCGTTAATGAAGAAAAAAGACATTCAAATTGATAATTTAGTATTCAGCTTCTCTGAGAATTCTTCGAAAAGTGACATCGAATTGAAAATAACAACAATTGTTACACCTGATCCTGAAATTGTCGACATACCAGGATGTATTTGCCTGTTTCAAACTGAAATTAATTCTAATTCTACTAATTCCTCATTTTTTGAACTGCCCCTCGTCTCGATGGTTGACAAGCCGAAAGCTCGTTTATACACATTGGCACAACCTTCATCGTTCTAGTTTAGTTCTAGTGTTCGCCGTGCTCGTTTACCTTTGATTGGTGGCATTCATGCATTCGTATTGCATTTTGATATTATTCCAAAACAACTTACACTACCAGCAGATGTGTTCATTGCGGCTACTCTTGAAAAACCGTTGATATCACGAGATAAACCGATACCCTGTAAATGTTTGATTCTTCGCAAACATAATTCGACCATGTTTCCACATGTAGCTTATCATGGAACGGCTATTAATGCCATTCAGTCTATTCTGAATGATGGACTAGCCCTGCCAGGCACAGTAACAACCGGTGGAAAACGTATTAATCCACCAAAATCTCATATTGCACGCGACAAAACAGCTTTTGGTGTCTCTGATTTTGCTTCTGCCATTTTTCTAAGTCCTAGTGTATACTATAGCGTCGATCCAACATATGCAAAAACATTTTCTTATGGCGATCGAATACTCGTACCCGTGCTAGAGTGCAGCGTTAAAAGTCAATGCTATAGTACTAATCGTTGTACGGTACCAACCTATAGAAAACATAAAGGCGATGATATGGAAACTATTGAATGGCGCGTTAAAGATCCACAAAATATCGAAATTAATGCAATATTATTCATTACCAAGATCAACTCAATTGATGCAGCAAAAATGGAACGAATTATCAAGGCATTTATCTTGCTCAAAATGAGAGAAGGGCGAACTGTATTGGAATAATTTTCGATAGAGACTCTAACTAGTGGACATTTTCGTTATACCCTCACGCCCATACCCTTACGTTTTTGAAACTTTGGCATTGCCTGCAACTGTATATTAAAAAAATCACATCAATACTTATATCTTTACTATTTTTATTTCTTTGATGGTCGTTATAGTTACAATAAAATATTGACTTTTTAAAATAGATGTAAAACTGCAGAGCAAAAAATCAGTCCTTTCTGATTCACAGTATGCATCAACAATGCCATTGGCAATCAATGATCCACCCTAGATATGAACAAGCACGATTCGTCCAATGATTACAATTCTTATTCGATGAATACTTCAAGTTATCATGTGTTGCTTTGCAAAAAGCGTCGTAAACTTTTGAAAGTTTATAGCGTCCTAAACTGAGACATTGTTGACCATAGATACGTTTTATTGCATAATGTGAAAAAATGCCTTCACCATTGATTGCTGTCCACTCAAAGCATACTCGTTTATTAGGATGGCATCCGTCCATAACAAGAAAATGACGTGCACCATGTCCAAGTATTGAACCAACGCGTAATGAACAAATTTTTAATTCACCTTCTTCATTATATGCTTCTATTTGCATTCTTTGATGAAACGATGTCTACAAATTCATTGTTCATTTTAGAGTATACGAGTAAAGAATTCTTAAAAAATAGAGCGAAGCACAGAAAAATTCTCTACAAAATAGTGTTTTTCTGAAAACGTAAAAATAGATAACAATAATGTCAACGGATGAAAATGTGCTTGTTTTCTTAGGCGAATACTGTATGTTAAAAACTTTTGTGCGTTTTTCAACTTTTCATTAATGATTTCAGTTTTATGTTCGAGAGTCATCATTTGAACTTCTTCATACAAATCCAATGCTTTTAATAAGTATTCCTTGGCCAAATCGTATTGATGTATTTTAACGTAAAAATCAGATAAATTGATATGACCAACACCACATTGATATTTCTTACGATCAATTTGTTGTTGATTACCGTTTCTAGTATCGGGTGTTGACTGTTTTACTATGTATTCATGATGCGTTAATTGATGTTTAAGTTCTAATTGATAATTGTGTTTATGTTCAAAACAGATATTTGCTATTTCTTCAATTAAACTGGAAAATTGATCATGATGGGATTCTAATTCTTGTTGATATTTCATCAATGCTTTTTGATAATTGTCTAATGCTTCATCATATTTAGAAATCGATTGATAAAAATCACGAAGACGATAGTAACTAGATACTATTTGTCGTTTTGTTTTCTGCAGCAGTATAATCATTATCAGTTGATGATGAGGCTGCACTTTTCACTGTATATTCATACTTTAATAATTGATATTTCAGTTCAGTATGATAATTATTTTTATGTACAGCACAAAGTTCAAGTAGTTTGTTAACTATATTATAAAAATAACTTGAAATTTCATTAACTAATTCAAAATGAATGCGTAGAGCTTTATCATAATTAATAAATGCATTATCATAGTCCTTAATCGATTCGTAAACTTTTGCTAGACTTTCGAATCATTCAGCAGTCTTAAAATCTGAAAATTCATAACATTTTAGCATATATTGTATACATATTTATGCATATTTAATTGTCATTGCAATGTGTGACTTATTACTATTATTATGATTCTTAGATTCAAAGTTTACTACACACTCCATTTTTGAATAAAAAATATCACTTAACATCTGATAAATATTCGTTTGCGCATAAATTCTCTTTTTTGAAATTTCCTTCTCTAAAGCTAAGTTTAAATGATTAATTGCCATATCATAATGTCTCAAACAGCTTTCAGACTCTTTGATAAAACTTACATAATAATAAACCATATTCTTGTATACTTTTGAGATATCAATATTGGCATTTAAATCTGAATCATTTTTATATTTCTTCCAGCTTTTTAATGCCTTGTCTTAGTATGATAATACTAAAGAAACATTACGTCCTTCCCAATCTATATTACAGTTTGCTAATGAATGATATTGAGCAGCTAAGATCCATTGTTCATACGTTGGATATACTCCTATCAGTCCATCAAATATGAAACTTATACTATCAGTTGACGACATAACACAAAAATCCCAATCGGTGCATATATTCAAACAATTACTTATAGTAAATTTTGCAGGAGTTATTTCAAATTCTCTCGAATCATGCTGATCATAATCATTGCGTAATTCTAATGAAACAATCCAAAGATCTTCATCTTGATTGTACTTGACTTCTTCTTTTCTAAATTCTGTTCCAATTGTAAATAAAATTTCTGATTCATGTGGAAAATAACTTAAATGAGTTATATCGGCAAAATAACGACATGGTAGACGAATATCAGCTAGAATTTCAAAGAGAACACGTTGTAGATTTCCTTTAATTTTAGATGGTTAAAGAAGAAATGATGATGCTAAAGAACGTTGACGAGATGTTGAAAAAAAACAATTGTTTCGAAGGCAACCACCACTGCCAGAAGTAAATTTTTCGATTTCATCTTTTGACATTAATTGTCCACGGTACAAACTTATAATAGGTGTTTTCAAATTTAATAATTTCAAATTTTCATATTCAAATTTGACTTGTTGAGATAAGTCTTGTATAAAAAAAACGAATAAAAACATAAGTTCGATATTTTGTTGTCGAAAAGCTTTGTTCATTATACGATAGAGAAACGTTTCTCGTGTATACCAAGGAATGGCATTTGAAGATTTGTAAGTAGATGAAAATACATCCAGAATTTTCATTTCTTCTTCTTTATCATTATAATCATTTTTAAGAAATTAATTAATTTAGATTGATAATCTTCTGGATATGGTAAAAAGACAAGGATATCAATAAAAGCTTCCCATCGAGAAAGCGCAGATTCAGATGTTGTTGCCTCTTTTTGTTCTCTACGTAATAGATTTGTGTTTTCATGTTGTTTATACTCTTGAACAGCAGGTGTAAGATCATTTAATAAATGTTCAAGTGAATTGTGAACTTGTCTTACATATTTAAAATATGTATTGAAGTATAATTAAAACATAATATAATGCTTACTCTTGAATATTTTGAAGCCCACTTTTGATGATACTCTTGATTCTGACAATAAATATAAATTGCATAGATAGTATCAAGATGATGAACTTTTGACACGAAATTCTCTCCCATTTGTCCAGAGCAAATTTTAAATGTAACTGTAGTATCAGTTTGGTTTATGTAAACCAACCATTCATCCATATTATCAAAGACTTTTGTATGGTCAACAATTTTTCGTAAATTCTCTAACGTAGTTTTATCCTTTTTCACATTTACATCTTGCCAAATTAACTGATGTGATTCAAGATTAGCTAGTTCTCGATTGAATAAATGACTATATCGAGAAATATCTTCCGTAGATATCTTTGACCGTGCCATTATGCTTTTTTTCAATCGACAACTCAATTTGACCTTACAAAGAGAAGAAGAATCGTTAAAGCTTTCTGGAGAATGCAGTATATGTTATTGTAAAAGCCGGAGAGAAAAATTTTATTAATCATAAATAATAACACACCGTAGCGTCCATCAAATGAAAACAGCAAGAAGCCATTATTTTCTTTTACTTCAACAATTTATACTCTCGCTGAATTCTTTTTCGATGATGATGTTTATGTAAAGAGAGAAATGTTACGTGTTATTGCTTTTAGGACACAAAATTTTAGCAATATAGGAGCATCGTGCTGTCATGATATTGCAGTAACTTGTTTGTTGTAACTCGTAAGTTCAAGAAAAACCATATTCTATTTGTAAGCGAGGAACGAGATGTTAGATAATTAATAAGAAAAATATTTCTTTACAAGTAAAGATGCCGTGAGTGTAAGAGTGAACATATACAAACAAAAAAGAGTTTCAGGTAAAGTAAAACACGAGTTTCGACTATTGCTCAGTTAGTATTCGCCAGGTATGTTTTAGAATTAGGATGAAGGTCGAGATACCAAAATTAATCGATTTTTTTTCTTGCATAATTGAAAAATGTGGATGTTTTCATTTTGCAAACATTATAAACGAGTCTATTTCAATAGACAACAGGGGTAATTGGTAATAAAGAACATGTTATTTTGTTCGTCTCATTGAGGGATGGACGGCGTCAGTGAGAACACCGAAAAAACCGTCAATTTTGTCACCGAGAGTGACGCTCAGTGCGCACTGATGGGTTCAGCGCCACTGATCACTGAAATATTGATTGCAGTTACACCGACGTCACTGATGCACTGATACCATCAGTGTCACTGGTAAGCCAGGCACACTGACTTCACTGATATCTTTTAATTAATTGTTACATAATACTGCAAGACATGTGCTTTAGACAAACAAACGTTAGTCATAAACCAGATGCACGGTTTTTGTCGACGATTTTCACTTAGAACTTATTTATCTAATTCTTCGCGAAGATATATTCATTTTCTTCACGTTTCTAAAACTCGAACCATTAATTTTTCTGAAAAATATATGAATCTAGCTTATGATCATTCTTTATTTATTTAAAGCACACGTCTTGCAGTATTGTGTAACAATTAATTAAGAGATGTCAGTGAAGTCAGTGCGCCTGACGTACCAGTGACGCCGATGGTATCAGTACATCAGTGACATTGGTGCCAGTGTGATCAATATTCCAATGATCAGTGGCGCTGAACCCATCAGTGCACACTGAGCGTCACCGTCGGCGCCTATCGGTATTTAGTAAATGCACACCGCGCATGCCTAGTTTCATTATTTTCCCAATAAGGAGGCAAACACACTACGGGAATTAAGGCTGACATAACCAATCGAATTGTAAAATAAGTTAAAGCTCACATAGATCATCTTTTTTTATATGAGGGGTATGGGTGTGAGTGTATTGTGATATTGACTTAGACCGATACCCACACCCATACCCGCACACTTAATAATAATTTTGAAAACCTTAGCTTTGTGCTGCAAGAAGTTATTATTTCAGAATAGAGATGGAATATGGTTTGTGTTTTTTCAAGCCAAACCAAAACCGAACCGAAATTTAACTATTGATGTCGTGTGAGAATGTGTGAAAACGAGATGAACTTTTGAAATATCCTGTGTGTAGAAAAGAATTTACTATCGTCCTTATGAGCAGCAAACAAAATGATTCAAGAAGTGCCGTTAAAATTTCTTGCTTCCCGAAATAAAACTACGTGAGATTTATGATTAATATACCCCGGTCAAAGAAAATGATCTGTAAACGGTGGTATCCGATAAAAATACGGCCCGTTTTACGTGCCGTATTTCTTCCGTATAATACGGGCAGTAATACGGTCGTATGTTTTATATAATACGATTATATTACGCCGACTTTACGAGGTTTCACGGCTGATACACGACGTCCGTGTATGAACGTAATACTGCCCGTATTAAAACGTCATAATACATCCTAATACCGCCGTTTTACGGTGGAATAAGATGCAAAAAACACTGTTTATGGTAATGTTACGGCGGTTTACGGTGGTCCATTTTGATTGACCTGGGTAGTCCTGATAATACAAACTAAGCAACTAGATCGGAACAGAAACTAAAATAATTAGTTTCGTATGTATCTACTATCGATCAAGAAAATGTGTAAAACAACAACTTTTGAAGATTTATTTGATATGTGATAGGAATAAATTGCAACGCACGTTTCTCTACTCAGAGACTGGCAACCAATAAAATGGTTCCACACTCCAAAAAGAATGTCTTCCTTTTAAACGATATTACTTCTATATCATCTGTCGCTCTCTAGAAATAAACAAGGATAATATCGCTTATGATTGTTGTCATCTTCGTTCTGAATAGATATTATATATTCAGCAAGACGAAGTTTTTCCCGCGTGCAGTAATTCATTACTGATATTGATAATAAAAAATTGGTTTCATATCGATCAAAATAGCAAAATGTACAGAGAGTTTTGCTAGGACGTCAGAATTCTGCTTTCTCTCATTATTTTGCAAAGTATATTGAAATCAATAAATGACTACACAAATAAAAACATTTCATTCGATCATCATGTTGAATAATATTGTTCATCTACGTAAAGAATGATTTAGACGAATATTCATATTTAGTTTTTCGATCGTATCAATTGATCGCTCAATCTAATGTTTTCTCGCCACTGTCTACTCGTTGAAGAAACTTGATGAGCCCAGAGAAATAATATTGTTGATCATCCCACATACAACAATGACTACCATTTGGACAAATCAAGTTCGATCCATTTTGTACTTGTGTTGCCATCCATTTCACATGTTCTGGATCCATTGTATCATATATTGCGCCAATCATTAGTGTTGGTACTGCTATTTTTGACAAATCATCTTTCCTAGTCCAATCTTTAATTCTTCCCGATACTCCAAATTCTGAAGAGCCTTGCATCAACCTATAAATTTCACTATTAAAATGTTGCACCGCACGATTTAACACGTCAGGCCAAGGATCCAATCGGCACAAGTGTTTCATATAAAAGTTCGGCATCAATAGTTCCACATATTTGGGATTGTTATAATCATTCTTCGATTCTATTTCTCTAATCGATGCCAATATGTCGGGATCCATTTGTTTTGCGAGAACATTTTGAGCATATTTGTCGTAATCTACGCAACTACTCATCATATTACTGATGATCAAACCCTTCAGATTATGTTGATATAATAATGCATATTCAATCGCCAATAGACCGCCCCAACTGTGACCAAGCAGATAAAAACTGTCGTGATTGAGTCCAAGTGCTTTTCTGACTTGTTCAACTTCATCGACAAAACGTTCGATTGTCCAAAGATTAGTGTCAGTCGGTTGGTCGCTCAAGAAGGAACCAAGTTGATTATAATAATAAAATTCAATTCCTTCTTCGAGAAAAAACTTTTCGAAGCATTCAAAAAATTCGCATGTACCAGCTGGACCACCGTGTAACAGCAATACTTTTATTCTCGGATTGTCTCCAAAGCGTTTTGTCCAAACATTGAATTTTCCAATGGGAGTTTCAATTGGTATCATGGTCCCATCCTGATTAGTCATCATTAACACTAGACTGACAATCTAAAAGTATTATAGTTGTACATGAGTTAGAAGTCCACTTAGTGTAATCAAGAGAAGCTTTTTGACATTCGCTTTCTTTCGCTCTGTTAACTAGTATGACGATTTTCTATAAGAGAGACAATTGTATAAGCAAGCTACTTTTTTTCTGTTTCTTCTAATCGCGAAAACAACAACATAATATTAGGGAAACAGGCATGTATATATCATCTACGAGTGAGAGATCAAACTGAGACAAAAAGAGAAAAAGAAAGGAGGAAAACACAATGAGGAGTTGGAATATCAAAGAGCATAACTTCACAAGGAGATTGATGTATCGACCTCGTAATGCATTTCTTGAGAAAAACAACACTATGTGTATGTAATTCGAATAGAAGAAAGAAGAATGACAAGCTAAAAGATACTGATGTGGAGTTGTAATGAAATAGATATTTTACTAGTTTCTATTGTGTCTCTATTAAAGAAGCGTCACAATGCGACGCTCCCGTCCTTTGTCATTGCATCGATTGTCCTTACCTTATTGTTCACTCATTGATATGCTTTGCTTTCATTCTCTCTTCTTCTGGTTGAGTATATAAATGTGCGTTTTATACAAAGACGCTGCGATTGATGATGTGAAGAAACAAAATAAAGCGTAATACCAAGAGCGCTAGCTGTTATATCGTCAGAAATCGTTACACACAACTAGGTTCTGTTGTCGATCTTTTCCCTCATGGATTATGAGTCGTTGCAAGAAATAAAAGATGTGAAAACGTGTTTCTATTGTTTGCTGGCTTTATTGAGACCCCACACCGAAGTGCATCGCAACAATGGCGATTTGGTTTGATTCGATTTTGATTACTGTTGTTTTCAGTATCTTCGGTGAGGGGTAAAACAACAAAGGCCTATTCTTTCCCTACTGATGGGGGTCTACATTATATATGTACTATTATTCACAGCGAGCAATGGGCTGCATTGCACAAATAACAGTACTTCTGTTTCATAAAACGATTAATAACATGAAAAATGGTGTTTTATACACTCTCACTTTCCATACACAGAGAGGCCTAGTGGTATGTGATATCATTTGAAGATAGGAACAGGGAATGCGTACAACATTCAGCAACGAAGAAAATGAAGCGCAAACATTGATATTATTGAGTATTGATGCGACAAAGTACGGAAAACAAAGCGATACTGATAATGTAGTCAGAGATTTAACTGGAAAGGTCTGATTCGACTTGAATTGATATTTTGACTTTAAATCATGATTCGCTTAGCTTTCGTCTGCTGGATATTTCCGTGTTGTTCGTTAAACTGTTTCGCAAGCGATATCACTCTCATTCAAATTTGAAGATTGCAGAAACATACATTAATAATAGCAATTCAGTCATCTATCAAATCCGGTTCTGCTCTTCTCTGTCATTGAAACATTCTGACAGAATCCGTGTCAATAGACATGTTTTGATGCTTCAAATTCACAAAAAAATTCGATTTCACAGTTTAACGGAAAAAGAGAAGAAAACTCGAATAAACTCTTGATATGATTGATACTTACTTTGGCCTAAAAATATTTTCAATAAATAAAAATAAGAGCCCTAAATATTAGTAAAGAACAAGGATTTGAAATATAGGAAATGGTGCAGAAGAAAACAAAAAAACAGTGGTCTATTTGGTCCTTTCTCTTTTCATGTAGCATCATTTTACTTACCGTCTAAAGATGTTTTCTTTTTTTGTTGATTCAGAGCTTCTCTGAGGCGCTCGCTTCGCGCAACCACGGCACAATGTAGAAATAAGAAAGAAAAACAAAGAAAAACAATTTTCAAATGCTAAAAGATAAGGTCGCATATAATCAAGTGTCCATTGGATTTTTGAATCGCAGGACTCTATCGCATGAAAGTGCTCTATACTGTTCGGCTTCTCTTTCTTCTTTGCTTCAATCAAAGTAAAAGAATCCCGCATCTCCACCATTCTGTTTTGCTTGTGCATATTTAGAAGTGAAGAGAGAGAGAGAGAGCATAATCACGATGACATACTGTATGTAGGTAATAGGCATGATAATGTCATCATCTAGCTGATATAATATAAACGGTGTCGTTTCATCGCGTGTCATTAGGGGTGCACCTAGCCCCAGATGGAGGCTTGAGGTGACACGCTTTTCAACATAGGTATTATTGCGCCCAGAAATCAACTAAAAGGGTAGTGTTTGATTTCTGAATACCCTTTGGGCATGCAAGGAGCTCGGGGATTCACGAACTTCATCACTCGGGAGCAGACACTTCGGTATTTATGATGCACATCCACAGCAGTAGACTATTCAGTTCAATCATAGGAATGTTTCATGCCTTGAAACATCTTCTCAAAGACCATGTTTTGTTGTTTCAAGATGGGTGTGTTATACACTCAATTATTAGTAGATTCAAAGCAATATATACGACGCGTTTCGACTATTACTTAGATAGTCATCATCAAGTATCTTTAGAATCTTTTACTATATGGAAAACAAAGAAGATCATTAAACCCGGGGTATTCCTGTGAGAATATGAGCATATCTATGAAGACTAGTAACACTCGTATGAGTACTTCTAGCAAACTCAGAAACTACTTTGGGACCTAGAGGACAGATTTTAGCACTCTTCAGCATTCCTGTGACGTTCTCAAAAATACTTGCAGCACCATCAGGCATCTATATAAAACCTACAAGGATACTTCCAGAATACTACGCAGTGCTGGTGCACCATCAGCAGAAATTATACTAATAGTTATTGCTACTAAAAGTTGCAGCTGTTCATCAGTTCTTAGATTCAGATTTCACGAACTTTGGAGCTGCATCAGTCACTGACCTAAATATAGATGGATATTGACTTAGTCATTGATTATACTTTGCTGATTACACGTAGCCACTGCCGAATCTGATTGTATACTCACCTCGAATCGTAGAACATAAAAGGCTTATGATTTCACGTAGTGTTTCTGATCTAAATATTTCTGAAAATGTATTGAGAATTTTGCAATTCGTTACACCGGCAAGTATACCAAATGATCTGTTGCATCGTTCAATATATGTTGCAGACCGCTCCTTAATCGTTCGGCAGTTGGTTGCGCCGAATCCTCGTTGTCGATACCTTCCCATGAACGTTTTATTCATTGTTCTTCGTTTGTTGTTAATTGCTTCTCTATTCAATGAGGCTGGTAGAGTATTATCTTCATCCAAATGCTGGTGCAGTTTACAAAAGCATGATCCTAAACATGGTGTTCGGCAGCAACCAGCGGTTAACGAATCAAACTCTTCCGTCGAAACTTGTACATGCTTTGCCCGACAAACGCGTCGGTGACACTTTTGGTGACCGTCAATAATGATAGATTGCGTGCAATCTGATCCACAGGACTTAATCAAAATCTTGTGGTTTCTCCACAGGTAAATAAATGACGAAAGCAGGCGCGGGTATTCTGTCCAGATCCATTTATCGAATTCACGAGCTGATTTTGGTATCGACACTGATGATGAGCCAATAAATAAATCAAATTCTACCACCTTATATTTTATGAATGCCATCGCAAGTCTTTTTCTCCACTCAGCGTTTATATCGGTCAAATTTGAGTTAAATGCACCAAGATTAAGCCCATCAACGAATTTCTGCCACGAACTAGCCTTGATGATCAGTTGACACGTATAATTTTCTATTAATGAACGCTCAAATGCACACTGGTCACCTAAATACACCGTATCATTATGTTGTAAACTTTGAGACGTAATTGTGCCTTTCAGAGTATATACTCGAACAGATAAAACATCAGCCATAGCAGCATCAAGAATTGATAAACAAATATGACACTTGGATTCAAATGGAATAATTGATCCGATTTATCAAGAGCCATATCAGCAGTTACAGCAGAAAAAAGTTGAATTGAATCCGGAGAATTCAAATATTTTACTACCCTTTCAATATCTGCTTGTGTATGTTCAGAACCACATGTTTCTCGAATAATAACCGTCATATTTTGCATTTTGTTTGGATCATATGGAGACCAGCGTTGGCTTAATTCAATAAGAAAATGTAGTTCTTGAGGACGCAATACATCATATAGTTCAATCAGTTGTTTAATATCTTCTGAATTGGTTCGACTAATATTATGATTCATAGTTAGAATCTAAACATCAACATAAACATTTTTTCTTGTAAATTTTCCTTTAGATTTTTATTTAAAATAGAAAGATAAAAATCCTACAACTAAAAGCTTTCAAATGTATCTCCTAAAGTATCCCAATATGCAGTGATTTCTGCATCGGACAGGACAATTTCAACGAAATCAGGTTGATATGAAATTTCAATTGGTCAACTAGAATTTTGATTGTTAAGATTAACTGTCGTTATCAGTTGTGATGAAGTCCAGTTTCTGATTATTATTGACATAAAAATTTATTGATGATTCATCAAATGATTTGAATCCAGTCATGTTACTGGTGAATGCAGACTGTGGAGCACACTCGGATCGATTCGATTTTTATTGTATTGAGTGCAAGTTTTGGCAACTTAACGCATTAGACCGTACACCAGATGCCAATATATTGCGTTCATTGTAAGACGATTCGGCCAGTTTATCACGCTTCCTCATAACATCATCGCTGGTGTAATGAACTGGTTCAGTCGGAATGATAAATGATAAATCAGATGAGAGCGATATTGTCTCGATTCCTAAAACATCCTTTAAAACCGATTGATCCCTTGGTACTCGCTTTATCAATGGTGATTCCGATTCCGATAAGCACTCTTGTGCGGTCGTTTTTTTATCTACCGTAAAAATACAAAGACAGAATGTATTTACATGAGAGAAAGAGAAAAGAAAATACTTGTTCATCATGCCAAAAACAATCATCATCAGAAGAATCACTCAGAAGCGACATACACATAGCACTATCTACATCGTTGATTTTGTTATTCAGTGTTGCACCATTATTATTGTGACTATTGCTTAGGAATTCAACATCTCAGCAAACAGAAGCACACACATTTTATCCAAAATAAGATAATTTTCTTCGATACCAACCTTGATAACTATTAAACCGACTTCGAATATTATCTTCAGCTTCTTTCAACCAACGCTTCAATTCCTGGCTCTCATTATCCTTCCACTCATCATCATTTTCCAGAAATTTATTCAAAAGAACATCATATTTGTTATCTGATTTTGATTGAGACATCATCGCCAATTTGATCAACAATGAGTGAAATAAATAGATCTTTTACCTATAATTAAAAGATAACGTCTCGCAAAAAAAGTTGGTCCATCTAACTGATACTAAAAAAATCACGTATAAAAAAACACCTGCCGAAATATCCTCTAGCAGCTAGGAACAAAATCTACGTTGTGATGAAAGCAATAGCAAAAATTTTAAAAAAAATTAATTTGAAAATTCAATCGGATGAAATTTTGTAATTTCAAACAGTCAAAAAAGATATGAGAGGGAAAAAATGTAGATTAAAAATCAAACGTGTCTAACGGTGTGATTCAACAACTAAATTTGCAATGATAAAAATAGATGATTGGATATCAATAATGATAGTAAGACAATGAGAAACAAAAGGATAGCAGTTTGATGGAATATAAATATGATAAAATGCCATAATCTGAAATATAATATCAAGATATTAGATGAAAAGAGCAAGAAAGTTTGCAAAAAAAAATATATGAAGGTATCAGAAGGTGAAACTATATATTTGAAAAGACAATGGCAAGAACGAATCATCGTTGAGTAGTATGATGAGAAAATCAAGAAAGACGAAATAATGAAGAAGCTATTGAAAAATGAGTTTGATGAAGTGTCATTATCTACATAAGGTTAACAAAAAATCATTGGATAAAACTCGATGAAGTTCTATAATGTGAAACTATAAGCAACTATTATGAGAGGAGAAGTATGCGGTTGAAGTGACCATGAAAACAAATGGTCTGATGTAAACAGTAAGAACAAAAAAAACATAACAATGAATTATCATCAGAAGTTAATCCGATTCAACTCCATAGTGAAAAGAAGCATAAGCAGTTATCACAGAAAAAAATGTATCCAATGTATAACGTAAAGAAGAAAAGATCGATTATCTGACAATGCCAATGAGAAGAGAAATGGTCTAATGAGAACATTAAAATAAAAGAAGCAGATGCAATTTTTCAATGGAGAACTGTATGACCACCTTTTGTACGAACAATATATTAGTACCTGAAATATTAATGAAAACATTATTCCGTTTCTGTTGATAAGAATTGTCTGTAAAAATGAAATTAAATACCTTCAAAAAAAATCATTTGGATGTAGCTTTGACACGTTTTCTTTGGCGAGTACGTATTCGTTCAGATATTGTTCCAGAAAATCTTTCACCTATACCTGCTTATTGGATGAGATAATTGAAATCCAAGAAATGTACTTACTTTCTGATAACTCTGTATCATTTGTTGCTTTCTTTTTACGTCGTGACTGTGGATCATCTAAAATAAAAACATATTAGACTTGACATGAGGATAATATATGTTTTTAAGATTAACTCGAAATCCATTGCAGTTTTGATAAATTCTTACGTTTGTACTTTCATCATCTTGTGTTTCACATTGCTCTTCGATGATTCCTTCGTGCGATATGACTAGTTGACATACAATGGATACGCTATCGTAACTAACTAAATAGCATAATATTTATCGCATAACAATGAAAATATGAAGAATCAGTTGAAACATACCTCCTGAAAAATTATGCAGTAAGTCGAAGATGTTTGACCTTAAATGTTCTACATTGCCTTCATGTTGTTCTGGATCGTTGGTATGATCATCGTCACTTGATGTAATACTTTGGCTACAACTGGGATCGGTTTCTTGTGCCGATATTGAACATGTGCGACCTGCAATGATTAAGGAGATCAATTGTAATTGCTACATAAAAGAAAAATATCATTCTCTTACTCGAAGCTACATGTGGATTTGCAAGCACATGACGGTAGAAAACTGATGAAATATCAATATTTAAAATTTGATATCTTTCAAGACGAAGAATATCCAATACTTCTTCACTTATCACACCTGCGCTGTGAAACGATACATTACTACAGGAAGCCAAGTACGTATTGTAGTTAAGCATTTCGTCTTGAAAACTAGCTAAACGATTGATGAATACTTCTGTTGACTCATTATCATTACAAAGAATCATTTTAATGTAAACAGTCGCTTTGCTTCTTCGGCAAATGAGACCGTCAGCTATTGCAATAAAAAAGCCGTTATGCACTAAAGGCTTTAGAAAAAAAATTTCTAATTTTGAACTGGCTTTTTTTCAGAGAACTGTTGACACACAGGCCATTTTTGATAAATACTAAAGAATGATGTAACAAGATTGAGGCTTTATAGCTATCACCCTTTTGCAGCATATTTTGCTGATTTCTTGTTAATGGTAAGTCTGTTATCTGGCCATTGTTCAATGAAACATCATTATTTTTCAAATCAGTTACTTCAATATTTTCTTTGCCTGCAATATGTCGCACTGTTGTTTTCATCGATTGGTTCGTTAGAGTGAATCAATTTTTTTTTGTCTTCAGCATTTAGCTTCATTAGAGTCATATATTGTGCTACATTCTGGACTCCTACATCTTCAGCTCGCTTGCACATGTCTGTATCAATCATCAAACACTGCTCTCTCCGTATATGCAAACCATTTTTTTCAGCAATTTTGAAGACACGATTGAAAAAGCTTTTCAGCGCAGCCTCGTTAGGGCTAAAATGTGGAACTCACATATTTTGGTCACTTAGATACTGATCAAATAGAAGTTTTGTTTTCAGTGTAGTGAGATCATATTGCGTTCAAAAATATGATACTAAAACCTTTTTAACATTTGAAGTTTATTGGATCCATCAGTAGGACATATTACTAGAGAGAACATATGAATTTTTTTTGTTTAGAATATGTTAGTATGCTGAAGCTTTTAATAGTTTCATTGAGATTGAGAATTATTGTGAATGATGATAGTTTAAACAGTATTTAGGATATAGCTATGGAAATTTTTAATCAAAGATTTTATATAGAATATTGAGAAATTAATATTTTTTCGTATTACTAGGTGAGAAATTGATATATTTTTATAAACGAAAATTTAATAAAAGCTTCCCAGTGGATGGAAAAATTGCGAATTGTAAATACACTAACGTGGATTCAAGCTCTAGATTAAGGTATTTGCGTGAGAAAAAAAGGAAAAGATTAAAATGTTCATCTGTTTATTGTAGGTGGTAGAAGTACACCAAGATAGCGTAGGTTAAACTTACGACATATATGTATAATCATGCTATTATAATGAAATTGAGTATGTATTAGAAAGAAATACTGATCTATATTTTAATATGACTAAATGACGTAAGTATGGTGATTAAACAATATAGAAATGTAGTAGTTGCCTGTGATTTAGTTTATGTGTAATATACTGCCCTTTGTAATAAGGAGTTTGCACAGATTTTTTTATGAGACAATGCTTTTGATTTTTTCGGTCCATATATTTTACAGTGATTGACGAATTTTTGATTGCAAAATAATTCATTTATTGTGTTGGGCAGCAGTTATAATAAAAGAAGTAAGAATTCTTTTAGGAGTTTGTATTTGAATATACTTAATGATAAGTATGGTATTGATGGTGTGGGTGTAGATGTGGGTTTGGTTATGGGTGCAAATGTGATCCCGTGTTTTGCTGTTTTTTTGTGCAGCACAAACTGCTACTCAAAAGTTGCTCAATTCAGTTTTATTTATGTATAATTTTACTTCATTAACTATAGTGCACGCGTCCAGCGCAGTGCTGCCACCTTTCAAAGTTCAAAAAGCAGAAAATAATTTTTAAAAAGCAGAAAATGACAGAAATTTCTTCATCGAAAAGCAGAAAAAAGCAGAAAGTATGTTTGTGATATAAAGTTATTTCTAAACTTTGTTCCAGTGTACTAATTAAGAATTTTCACATCCAATTTTGATCTTTATTGTACTGAATCATAAAAAACAATCAATTTATAAATAAATAGAATTGTACAAGATTAAGAAACAAAATTAATTAACAAATAATAAGATTATTGAACAATTTCTTTTTTAAACGTATATTTTTCATCTGATTTAATAGCTTTTAATAAATCGTGATTGCCTAATAAATGTTTATACATTTTAGTGTATGATAAGATGGAATTTAAACGTATTTTTAATTCCGCTGATATAAGCTCTGTTGTCATACAGTTTCTCTTATCATTTAATAAATGTTTCATGTGTGAGAATGCTGATTCAACGTAAGCATTGCTGCAAGGTAAAGAATATAAAAAGCTTATTAACTTTTAAAAATTTGATGATGGGGTCAAAGAGAATATAAACATCCATAGCTGGTCGAATCTGATCACTTTATTTATTGTTGAATCATTATCATCTTCGCTTTCGTCACTGCATTTGTTTGCTGCCGTAATATCATTTTGATTGTTAATAAATGCTTGAACTTGATCGAAAATTGATTTACGTTGACTTAACAATGTTTTAAATGTTGATTTTATCTTCGTAAATTCATCAAATAAACAGTCTTCATTTAAACCTTTTATTTTTAAGATATCAACACATTGCATAACCTGAATCCATGTTAATGCATCGATATTTTCACAACCAAAATAGCTGATCGTTCGATAAAGTAGAATATTTTGATTAAAATAAGAGTCAATATAAGAAACAAGTAACGCTCGTCGCTTAGACTCGCTTGACCCTCGACTGTATGTTGTGCTTTTTCGGTACCCAAGTCGAAGAATCTGACGTAAGATCGTACAACCCGAACAAAATCTTCTAAGCATTAGACAAAAAATCGTCATCTCTGAAATCTTGCATCAGATCATACTATATTTTCTTTAAAGATCACACATGCAATTTATTTTCAATACGAATTTGTCGTGATATTTTAAGGAGATATTAGTTCAATTAAAATATCACAGTGAGATTTCATGGGTAACATAATCTTTCAAATATCGTCTGATATGACTTAGTGTAAGAAATCAGAGACGACGATTTTTCGTCTGATCTGATAAGATCAGATATTATCAAACGTACGATTCTTGTAAGATCTTGCCATCTGGTGTCTCGCCCTGGGTATAATTTACTGTTTTTCAAGCTTCAACTACACTAATCTCCCGTATTTGAAAAAGGATGGATATGATTGCAGACCCTAACATAAAAATTGATGCTAGATTGCTGCATCTTATACACACTCTCACTCTTCTTTCTGTCCTGAATTCATCTGATAACATTGTGGCTTAAGGACCAACAGGTCGCTAAAATTGGTACAATGTATTCAATATCCTGCTAATACTAATCGTATAGTGCATATAAGCAGGAGTGCCAATTGCATAGACAAAGGAATAGTAATCTTATGCGGATCCAATCCCCACCTATCAAGAATGATACCATTTAAGATGTTTCGATTAGCCTGAAGTTTTCAGACATGCGTGACCGCATTAAGGGGCACCCACAGTACAACTTTCATCGTGATTTATCAAAGTTGACATGATCTACAGCTGATACATAGTTAGATTCTACTATTTCAGAGAATCACTGTAACTTCGGTATCAGAGAAGACATAGAGCCCACGACCTCTTAAAAATGCAGTTAGCAATATCGCCAAAGTTTTTTTCAAACAGAGTTTTGAACTCCGTTCCCGTTCAATATTTATGCACATTTTACTGTGCATCACAAGAGAAAGGAAGTATAACTTGGCACTTTACAACGCCACATCCAGCTTTTTTCAAATTAGGAATGAATCATAGAAAATCTGTTTGATGAATAGTTAGCTATAATTTAAAACTTTAAAGCAAAATAAAATAAGTCGTGTCGAACATGTGGAGAGATATTTCAATTTTCGTGATCGAAACTCCTATTTGAGCAAGCTGCGAAATGAGTAAATGATGAATATATAAATCAGACAGTAGTATCAAAACACTCTTTCTCAAGACTGTAAAAAGCCACATATTCTTGAAAACAATGACTCTCCTGAGTGCTTCGAGGAAGCTAAACCTTCCATTGAGTCGATGAAATCGAAAACAACCAGGATATGATTCCCATTGAATGTAGTTCCCTGATCAGCTACCCCCAAAAGTAATTTATCCTTGAATTCAGTTTAACACTCGAACTTGATGATATTTTGAGCAATTTTGGAACCACTTATATCTAGATAGTCGAGGTATATTTATGCTTGTCTACTGCTTCTGACCATTCTCTCCACCACTAAAGCAGCAGCTAGCCGTTCGTCGGTGCCCCAAAGGAGCGCTACTCACGCCTAGCAGCTGCTACCATGCCTACCGCCCCCTACAACACAGCACTCATATTTCACAATTTCCAACCCATTACAGTTCTGTTAAACTCAGAAAAACAGTCGATTCTTCAACTACGAAATCTTTACTTGAAACTGGAAACTACTTATTCAATAAATCTATTTATAACAAGAAGCGCACCGTGACCATTTCTGAGAACCTGAATTGAATCGAAAATCGTCACTCAACATCCAGTATCATCATACAGAAAACAAACTCTATTTCAATACTGAGCACTTTGCAGATGAAATAGATCTGAAATACTCCCATTAGAAACTAGTCAATCATCAGCGTACCTTAAAAAGATGCTAAGCGTATACTTCATCCCTGAACAAAATTCAGTTGATTGTTGAATGATTCTTCACAATCTCTAAGACACTGTTTTTCCCGGAAAATCAAAGACAAAACTCCAAAAGCTAAAATGAAGTACCATTTCTGAGACCTTGATTATCAATGGTCGAACTAAATACAATTTAAATATCTTCTAAACAAACCCGTCCTAGAAAATCCGATTCGAGATTTTAAAAATCTGACTTCATATTCGAATTCTCCGACCCCGATTTCCTTCCGTCAGCCTTTATAGAATATCAACGCTTTCTCGAAAAAACATCTCTTCGTCCGGAAAACTGAACTCAAAATTTCTGAAATCTGACTTCAGATTCGGATCCACCGACCACGATAACCTTAAGGAAAGCTCCATGAAAAGACGGCTTAGCTCAAAAAGAAGGAAAGCTCGTATGATGTTTTTTTGACCTGCCACAAAGAGACAGACAAACGCATTTTTTTCATATGACCCTCCCTCCAGTCGAGGGAATAATTGTATTTAAAAATCTAATAAATGATGCTTTTAAAACATTTTGTATATCAACTGGAAAGCGCGATAATCTATATCGACAAGCTGCTCCAAAAAATTGCGAATCAATTCGTTCTTGTAATTTACTTTTATTGGAGGTTACTACTCTATATAAATCAACAGCTGTTGTATAGTATCGTTGCAGTTCGAGATTTTTCTTATGAATATCAAATAAAACATGCTGTAAAAAACTTCAAACGCAAGTGGTTTCAGCATGTTCAAAAAATTCTTTTATTTCCAATGGACAATTTTCATGTTGTTCAAGAAAATATTTCTTGACAGGGACAAATACTTCAACTAAACGTTCTATTGATAAATATAGACTTAGCCATCTGATTTTTATATGTTTCAAGATCGCCTGCAAAACAAAATAGCAACCACCATATATCAAATTAGCATATAACCAAGGGGAACTAGGGAGAAATATTTTTACCTTGAAATCTTGCTCATAAAACTCATAATACTGTTTTAATTCATCAATGCGTTTTGCCGAACGTGAAAAATGTGAATAAATTGAAAGCAAAATATGTTCAACATCTATTGGTAACACACGATGAGCATGTTTGACAGAATTGTGTAATATATGACTATAACAGTTACTTAAATGTACAAAAAAAAAAAGAATTTCACTGTTTTTACAAAAATAGATGACAACCTTTTCAAAAACAAATAATAGTAGTATAGAAAGTGTTTACAAACGATGTCTTATCACACATAATTAGATTCTAATACTTATCCTTGTAAAACTTTAAGAAATCAAGACAAAAATCAACAAGAAATCATAACTTTCCCGATTGAATGAATTAGCTATACCTTTGTGGATATCAGGTAATTCATCTTTAAACAACGAGTAATCCGAATGATTGTTGCCAACGTTTACGCTTGTATTATCAGCTCCTAATGCTGTTAATCCATTCAAATCTAAATCGTTATCTATAATTAATTGACGTACATTTGCAAAAATTTTATTTGCTGATTCTTCAGCGTCCCCTATCAAGTTCACCATACCTAAAGCGATATGAAAGGTGCCAATGAATATAATCAATGAAACTAGCATGCAAACATACCCTTTTTAACACCTGTAGATGATAGAAATTGCACGCAAAACGGAAATACTTTCGTATTTCCTTTGTTACTAGCATCATATAATAACGAATAATCAAAATGAATCTTTTAAATCATTAATTAAATTTTGTGTAAAGTATGGTGCTAAAACATTTAATGTAATAGAAGGTGGCTTGGTTCGAGCACATGATAAACCAGTTGCTATTGGTGAAGATGAAAATATTGTTTTACAAACATTGACCAGACATTGTTGTGCTAAATATGAATGACCATGCTTTATGTTGTGGTAAACTAAAACACCCTCAGCAGCAGCAATTTCATCTTTTTCTCTCGATGGTTTTATTCTGGTTGTTATTAGCTTTTGATTAACATCATAATATTTCATATTCTTTTTATGCTTTAGAGTGTTCATATGATTATCAATATCAATTTTTCCTCGGTAATGTATGGAAAACTGTTAATAACAAACAATAGATGTAGCTTGAGATAAATCAATTCTATATTCTTTTAAGAATCGTTGATATTCGACGATTGTCAACCATTCTCTATTAAATACACCTTACTTCGATTTCTTTTTTTCTGGTTTAACTGTGACTGATGATGATATTGGCGTCTGTTCCACAACTACTGGTACTTCGGTAGTATCTTCTTCGCTATTTATGCTATCATTATCATCGTCACTTAGTTTTTTTGTCCCTGTAGTATTACTAATCATATTAATATTATTTATGTTCATCAAGCAAACACATAAAACCATATATATATATATATATATATTGATTTGTATGAATCAGATGACTATACTACAAAATGAGATATAAAGGAAAATATAGGTAAAGAATGGCTTAAAAGCAATATATATATATATATATTTATATTGGTTGCTATTTGTAGCCAGTAAAAGATGCAGATCATCTTTCTAGCATTGACAGAATTCAAACAGATCAAAAACATCAGTACCTATTGATTAGGACGTTTTTTTATAATCATGAAGAAGGATCTTTGAGATGAAAATTGTTGGCTAGCAATAAAAATAACACATTATTGGAAAAAGCAGAAAAATCTTCAAAAAGCAGAATTTTTCTGCTAAAAGCAAAAGAGTTGGCAGCCCTGGACTCCAGCGTAACAGAAAAGAAAAAACAACAAAACATTGAATACAGACGACAGTACAATTTCAGAACAGAGATAATTAAGATTATTTCTTTCTCGGTGATTGTGAAGTATCGGGAAAATCAAAAGTAAGTTGAAAAAATGAAATAAATGAATTATCGAGAAGGTGAAAATGATCTCATCTACACGAAATAGTGATCAACAAAAAAACTAGAAAGGACCCCGCCGGATAAAAAAATTTTCTTGAATCGATTTCATTTTTATACAGTATTGTAGAGCTCGTTGAGATACATCAAATGGTATA